TATTTTTCACATCTTGTACTTAAGGTAAAATTCAAAAAGTAGAAAAGAATATCCAGTGAGAAGAAATTCTCCTGTTGTCAGCCAGCCACCAGCTTCCTTCCCTGGAGGCAGACTCTGGCCTCAGCTTCTTGTGTATCTTTCTGGAGATATTCTAATATATGTTTTATGTATTTAATATGTGTTCCTATGTGTACTTCCAGTGGATAGCAGTTCTGTTCTGCCCTTTGTTTTTCTGTTTGTTTCTAGTTAATACATCTTGATGTTGTTCAGTTGCTCAGCTGTGTCTGGCTCTTTGTGGCCCCGTGGACTGCAGCTTGCCAGGCTTCCCTGTCCTTCGCTGTTTCCCGGAGTTTGCTCAGGTTCATGTCCATTGAGTCAAGGATGCCATCTTCCATCGCTCCCTTCTCCTCCTGCCCTCCATCTTTCCCAGCATCAGGGTCTTTCCCAATGAGTCGGCTCTTCTTGTTTCATATTAATACCTAAGGAATCACACCTTTTTACAGGCTTCACAAGCGGACTTCCCTGGGGGTCCAGTGGTCAAGGATCTGCCTTGCGGTGCGGGGATTGTGGGTTGAGCCCCTAATTAGGGAACCGAGGTCCCGAATGGCAGAGCACTGCTAAGTGTCATCAACTAAGACCTGAGGGAGCCGAATAAATAAATATGTTTTAAAAATAAAGGCTGCGTTGGATTTTATTGTGTGAGTATAACAAAAGTTAGGATTTATTTAACCATTCCCCAAGAATTCCAAGATGGAATGGCTTAGATATGTTCAGATACATTTTAAACAACGCTGCAATGGATATTCTTGTAAGTTCTTTATATGTCACATATATAACTTTATCTGTTTTAAAAATTCATAGAAGTATAACCGCTGCGTCAAAGAGTACATATGCACTTTTAATTTTGATAAATATAGTGAAAGTGCTCCTCCCACAGATGTTATCCACTTTACACTTCTACCAGCAGTGCATGCAATAGCCTGTTCCCGCAAACCCTTGCTAAACAGAATGTTATGCAACGTTTTGATCTTTGCCAGTCTGATAGGGAAAATGCTGTCTCTTCATAATCTCACCTTGTATCTTTCTTGTTCTGAATGAGGCTAAGTATCTGTTCATATGTTTAATAGCCATTTTTTTCCCTTTTACTGTGGAAAGCATTTCCTATTCTTTGCCTGTTTTTTCTTTTGGATTATTTTGTTGTTTTTCAGTCGCTCAGTCATGTCGCACTCTGCGACGCCATGGACGGCAGCTCACCAGGTTTCCCTGTCCTTCACCGCCTCCTGGAGCTTGCTCAAACTCCTGTCCATTGAATCAGTGATGCTGTCCAACGGTCTCATCCTCTGTTGTCCCCTTCTCCCTCCTTCATTCATTCCCAGTATCTTTGGATTATTGACCTCCTGCTTATTCATTTGTTTTGTGTATTAAGGTAATTTGTTTGTTGCCTGTGACATATGCAGCAAATATTTTTGTCCAGGTTGGGATTTTATTTGACACTATGGGAATTTATTTTTGCTATGCAGAACTTTAGAAATTTGTGTGTCATTAAATTTAACCAAATTTATGAATCTTATTTTTGCCTTCTTGGGTCTGCTATACTTTACTTTCTGTTTTAGTGCAAATTGCAAAGTGGACAGAAAAAGCATTGGATTGAGACTCAGGTCTGTTTATAATTGCCAAACCCCTTTCCTCTTTTAACCTCAGTTTTGCCTTCTTTCTGTAGACTGAAGAGGTTGAATTTCATTTATTTGTTCTTTTTTTTTTTCATTCATTCATTTCTCAGCACTGAGCTGGGTGCGGGAACATAGAGATGAACGGTGTGGTCCAGTGGGGAGAGAGACCAGTGACCCAGTGGGGCTGAGAGTGGGGGACCCTGGTGTGTTTCGAAGGAGGAGGATGTAGGTCAGGAGGTGAAACAAGGGATCTCGGGGCGGGGGCGAAGAATGAGGAGTTATTCTGGTAGAAGCAGGCAGCGGGATGAGGTGGCGGAGGGCGGGGCCTGCGATGGCCCGGGGGACGGGAGGGACGTGGTCGGGCGGCCGGGCAGTCAGCGCGCTGCTGTGCCTGGGCCACGGAGGCCTCCTCAGCCGGCTGCCCGGGCCGCTGCGGACACGGAGAGCACAGATGAGCAGAGGAGCCTCCTCACCAAGGCCTCAGCGTGGTCAGACTGGCCCTTTTGCTGAAGATGCAATGATCATTTTCTTCAGTGCTGTGAAATATTTACCGTGACAGTTTTTAACAGAGAACACCACAAGGGATACTTTCGAATATCGCCTAGTTTAAGAAATAACATCATGGCTATAGTGGAAAAGCCCTGTGGACTGCTCCCCAAATCTCGTCTCTGTACCTCCCCTAGATGTTGGCAGGGACATGCTTCTGCTGGGCGTGTAAAATAGCACAGTTGCGTCTTAATGATAATTAAGATGATAATTGCATCAAAAAAGAAATGATAATTATGGCATGTGATGTGGGCATTAACTAATGCTAGAGCGGTAATCGTATTGCAGTATATAAGGGTATCACATCAACATTTTGTTCACCTTAAGCTTATACAATGTTATTTATTGGCTATATATCAGTTTTTTTAAATGGCACAGTTGCTTAAGAGAGCAATTTAGCCATACTCAGTGAAGTTACATGTGCAAATGTCCATCCATGTCATTGAATAATTCTACCCCTAAGTGGTGGACTCATTTGCACAGGTAAGTGCAAGGAGATGTGAATAAGAAAGTCCATAGCAGCAGTGGTTGTAATAGTGATGGGAAACCTCACTTTCCATCAGCAGAAAGGTGAAGTAATCCACAGCGACTTATTTTTACATAGAATACTGCTGTCAATGGATGAACATATAGACAAAATGTGGCCTATTCATGCAATGGAATATTATTCAGCCGTAACAAGGAGTGAAGTGCTGACATTGCTAAGGGAAAGAAGACAGACACAAGAGGCCACATACTATGTGATTCCTTTCAAATGCAACATCTGAAATAGGTAAATCTAAAGCGAGAGAGAAATTAGTTATTGCCTAGGACTGGAGGTGGAGTGGTTTAGTAGTGACTGCTAAAGGGGTTCAAGGTATCTTTTGGAGATGATGAAAATGTTTTAAAGTTTGATCATGTGATACTTGCAAAACTGTGAATATATTAAAAGAGTGAATTCTGCATTTTAAATGCATGAAATTTATGATATGTAAGTTATGTCTCAATAAAGCTCTTTTAGAAATAAAAAAAAAAGAATACTACTGTGAAAAAATGAGACTTGGAGCCACACTCAACAGGGATAAGTCACAAAAAATACAATGTTGAGTGGGAAAAAGAAGTGCCAGAGTGCATGCAGCCTGCCAACACTTATGAGGTTAGGAGACAGGCACTGCAGTACTGCATTCTGCTAGAGACACATCCTCATGGAGTAAACACACAAAGGCATGCGTGGGAATGATAAACACCAGACCCCTAGGGTGGCTGCCTCTGGGGCATGGGCAGGGGGAAAGGATCAGAGAGTTCCTGAGAGCTTCGGCTGAGCTGATATTTCCTTTCTTAAGTGGGGTGCTGGGCCCATGCCTATTTCTCATGTTATTCTTGTCTTAAAAATGTTAATAGTATATTTTATATAGCTCAGAGTTTCCCCAAATTATCATCTCAACATGTAATCAATCTAAACAGATTAAACAAAGTGACAATCTTACATTCCTTTTTTCAAAATCCAGTTTGTATCTATTGTCCATCTTCAGGGTTCCCATCCACCTCTCCCTGGGGCCTGCATTCTTATCTCATCACTTTAGGTGCACGTGGGTGCAGGCCACTGCAAGCCAGCCTGCAGCCTTCTCCCAGGGAATAGTGGTTGGGTGGCTCAAGGCTCGTGAGCCTAAGTCCTTTCCAGGCCACCACAGTGGAGCCCTATGTTTCTCCCGGCAAGGGGTGATGGTGAAGAGCACAGCCTCTTTAGTCAGATGCTCTGGCTTTGGACTTCTGATGGGCTTACTTTGGGCAAATTTTTTGCCTTCTCTTAGTTGTCTCTGGGGCTTCCCAGCTGGTGCTAGTGGTAAAGAATCCAGCTACCAATACAGGTGATGCAGTTTCCATCCCTGGGTTCAGAAGATGCCCTGGAGTAGGAAATGGCAGCCCACTCCAGTGTTCTTGCCTGGAGAATCCCGTGGACAGAGGAGCCTGGTGGGCTGCAGTCCATGGGGTCACAGTGGGGCTCCACTGAGCAACTGAACACAAAAAGTTCTCTCTGGGATAGAATGGGGATAGTAGTGCCTGGCCTCATAGCGTTGTTGTGAGGAGTAAATGAACTAATGTGTGTGAAGAGCTGAGAGCCTGCTAAAAATGAGAGTTCAGGGAATGTGGGTGATGCTGTCATAATGACGACAGTGACAAAGGGAGTTGACCGCACGTGAGAAAGATGCAGATTTCAGTTGTCCTGAGATCTGGGAGCACTTCGTTTTGTCCCTGCTTTTCCCCCACATCCCGAGGCACTTGAACAGTAGACCTCCTTCAAAACACAACAAAACAAACCTGCCCACTTTTACAGAGAGAAATGGGGGGAAATCCCTATGCTGATGTGGGGGAACATTGTAGAAATATTCTAGGAATATTCTTACATATTTTCCAAACTGCTGATCGTGACTTGTTCGTGCGTAATGAAATCAATTTAGTAGGTTGTTTCCAGCATGTTTTTTAATGAAATAAAAGAGAAGAAGAATTGTTAAATGGAAAGGAAAACACCATAGTGCCTGGTGAGTATTAAAAGCAAATAATGTTTTATGAAACGTCTGTTTCAGGGTGACAGATATATATTTGTCTAAACGTGCATATTGGGTGGCCATGTACATGTGCTTCTTATTATGGGTCATTGTCAAAGAGGTTTGACAAACAATGATTAAGATGCTGCAGTGGGGTTCTGGAAGGATCCCATTTCATTTCCTGAGTATGTTTCCTCCTTGTTTCCAAGCAGAGTCGAGTGTGTGTGTGAAGCATGGCCTCTTCTCTCCCTGCCTGCAGGACTGGCCGCCCAGGGCCACCTGGACCTCACGGAGCTCATCGGTGTCCCGCTGCCGTCCTCCGTGTCCTTTGTCACCGGCTACGGTGGCTTCCCAGCCTACAGCTTTGGGCCTGGTGCCAACGTCGGGCGTCCGGCCAGGACCCTCATCCCGTCCCCCTTCTTCAGGGACTTCGCCATCAGCGTGAGGGTGAAGCCCAGCAGCCCCCGGGGCGGTGCGCTCTTTGCCATCACGGACGCCTTCCAGAAGGTCATCTATCTGGGCCTGCGGCTCTCGGGCGTGGAGGACGGCCGCCAGCGGGTCATCCTCTACTACACGGAGCCCGGCTCCCAGGTGTCCCGCGAGGCCGCCGCCTTCCTGGTGCCCGTGATGACCCACAAGTGGAGCTACTTTGCTGTGGTCGTCCAGGGCGAGGAAGTGACCCTCCTCGTGGACTGTGAGGAGCACGACCGCGTCCCCTTTCCGAGGTCCTCCCAGGCCTTGACGTTCGAGCCCAGCGCGGGAATCTTTGTGGGCAATGCAGGAGCTACGGGGCTGGAGAGATTCACTGTGAGTTCGAGTCTTGCAGATGAGGAGGCGCTGGACAGTGCAGCAAGCACAAGCGACCGCTCTTACCATCATTTTATCCTTATGTCCTCAAAGAGGCATGCATGCTCGTGGGCCGAACGCCAGGCTTGAAACTCAGAACTAAGATTCTAGTCCTGAGTTTTCAGTTTACCTGATGATTTTAGACAGCAGCTGAATTCTCTGATCCTCTGTGTTTTCTTATCTGTGAGTGGGGATTAGAAAACTTAGGGTTGTAGACTCATGTGAGCTAGCCTGTGTGAAAGCACTTTGTTTTTAGGCATTATAAAAAGGGTAAGGTTTGTAATATCTTTCAGTGATATTATCTTTGGAAAAGGTGACAGCTGCATATACTTTCTGCAAAGGTGGAAGAGCTGAGATGAGAGAGTGTGAGCTAGTTGCGCTCTCTCCTTTGGGACAGTGTGCCTTGAAAAATCGGAAGACTGATTTTACTGTCAAAATGGATTTTTATGAATGAGCCATTCTAAAGCAAATCCCAAGTTATTGTAGTCATTCATTTAGTCACCACTGTTCTTATTGGGTTGGGAGGATCCCCTGGAGGAGGGAACGGCTACCCAATCCAGTATTCTGGCCTGGAGAATTCCGTGGACTGTATACTCCATGGGTTCGCAAAGAGTCGGACAAGACTGAGCAACTTTCACTTTCACTTTGATTCTTACTGATACCTTCCCAGTTGATTCAAGACAGGACTGGGCTGGAGTTTGGGTTTATCTGTAATACAGTGGAATATGGATTTTAGGAAGGTGGAATCCAATGAACAATTTTGAAGCTCTCACTTGGAGATGGGTTAGGGTTAGATGGTAAAGAATCTGCCCACAATGCAGGAGACCCGAGTTCAATCCCTAGCTCGGGAAGATCCCCTGGAGAAGGGAATGGCAACCCAGTCCAGTATTCTTGCCTGGAGAATTCCATGGACAGAGGAGCCTGGCAGGCTGCAGTCCTTGGGGTCACAAAGAGTTGGACACAGCTGAGCGACCAACACCACCACCACATATGCAGAATGGGCTGTCGGGGGTAGGGAGGGGAGGCAGAGTGGAGGCAGGGAGCCTGGCGGACAGCCACTCTGGGGACAAGTCCTTCCCGCTGGGAAGCTTTGAGCCATGGGGCAGAGACTTTCTGGTGGGGGAGGCGTGTACTGTAGGGCTCATTGCTGACAAGTTAGGCACCTGGGGACCTGTTAGGAGGCTGCTGTTACTCTGCACTTTGAATACTGAGCTCTCCAAGGATCTCTCTGGTTAGTGGGATTCATTTTACGTTGTCCCAGGGAGAGTCCCCCGTGATGAGCGCAGGCCTGGAGATGGCGTGGTTTTCTTCTCATGGCCTCGAGCAGCACTCTCACTCCTGTCCTTTCACTGGTTCTGCTCCGTATAAAAGCAGCCACGTGTCCCGCTGACACTGGGGCTGTAAACGTGGCCTCTGACCCCTCTGCTTTCCTCCAGGGCTCCGTGCAGCAGCTCATCATCCACCCTGACCCCAGGACTCCCGAGGAGATGTGCGAAGCTGAAGAGTCCTCGGTGAGCCCCCCACTTCTCCCTGTCACCCCCACAGTGGGCCCTGATGCCCCAGCAGGCAGAGGAGGGCCTGGGACCCAGGCAGTTTTTCACCCCAAACGTCGTGGAGCCTCTGAAATCCCTTATCCTGTCTAGCGCTGCATCAGGTCCTATTTTGAGCTTTTTGGCTTCGTTATTATTTTTGCGAACTTCAGCCATGTCTTTGGTGTACGGTGGTGGGTTGGTGGGGGGGAGTTGTGTTTCTTCTAAGGTGTTAGGTTCTTCCGTGGCTGTGCCAGTCAATGGCCTGGTTTCCAGACTTCCTGCCAAGAAACGGTGTCAGGATTCTAAAATAAAAGTTAAAAATTCCAAGACATTCTGAATGTAAATTCTTATAAAAACAAACCTAAATTTAGCTTTTATGCTTGGCAAATGAATCAGTTCCTCAGTTAAAGGGGGTGGTAAGCAGGGAAAAAAAGATGGGTCCTTTTCCGTCTTCCTCCCTCCCCCCCTCCCTCTAGGACTGACTGAGTACATGCAGGGTGACAGACCTAGGGAGATGCTGGAGGTAAAGAGATGAACTGGGGGTGGTCTGCATCCTCACGGTGTTCAGACATACCCAAAAGCAGTGATAGAGCTGAGTGTGATTGGCCCTCAGACCCAAATTCTACAAGTCAGACGGGGGCGGGGAGGTGGAAAAGGAAGAATAGGAAGCCGGTCAGGAAGGAGTTGATACCTGATCAGTGACAAGCAAGAGTCAGCCAGATGAAGAAGAAAAGGTATTCCCAGCAGAAGACACCGCACAAAGAAGGAAAGTCATAGGCCAGCACAGCATGGCGTATTCGTAGACCTTCCGATCCTCTGTCTGTCAGCCCCAAAGCTAAGCATAAACTGCTTTCATTCATTCAGTAAAAAATGCTGCCAGTGCTGGAAAGCCAGCCCCTCAGAGGTAGAGCTTGGCCCTGGGAGAATATTTGCTCTCCTCGAGTCCATGATTCCAGCCTGGCATTCCCATGACGCTGAGAGAAGGGAAAACGTGTGTGTATATATTGCTTCATCTCTATGGTGCTATTAATATTGCATGCACAGAAACAATCCAAGGGTCCACAGTAGGTTACAAAATCATGGCACATGGTGTCCTGGCTGCCATCAGGGGGCTAATTGTGAAGACTAGGTAACAAGGGGAGGATGTTCTTCAGAAAGTAATGGTTCCCAGTGAGAAATTCTGGTGACAGGAGAGAGGGAGTGCCTTTTGATCAAGATAGGAGGGCACTTGGGCAAAATGTAAGTAGGTTTGTTGGAGAGACTACATTGATTGTATTCTTTGTTTGTTTGAGCAAGAAAATGTGGAAGGAGACAAAAAGAACAGCTAAATCACATGCTTTCTCCTCCATCCCACTTTCTCTGTACACTTCCAGCTACATCTTTCCTTCTCCATGCACCCTGTTTCTCCGCAGGAGTCTGTTTCTATGACTCCCCCCTCTGCCCACATGATTTGTCTCCACACAGGCATCTGGAGAGACCAGCGGGCTCCAGGAGACAGATGGAGTAGCTGAGATCTTGGAAGCGGTCACCTACACTCAAGCCCCAGTGAGTACTGGGTTCTGTGTGGTGGCATCTTGGTCCGCTTTTAGAGGGCTCGGCATTGTCCAAGAGGACCCGGAGTCTTGGTCTGGAGTCTCTGTCCTCACATCTGTGACTTCGTTCTGCAGCTCACCGGGGGAAGTCAGGAAAATACTGGCCAGTGGGCATTTCGCAAACTCCTCAGTGTAGGGGAATGCCAGTACCCAGCTGCCGCCCTGCGCTGTGACCAGGGGAGGGCTGTCCAAAGGCAAACTCTGCTCCATCGCCTCCCAGCGGTGTGAGCTTCGGTGCCTCACTCAGCCTCTCTGAGCCTCAGCCCCTCTTCCCCCAAACAACAGTCAGAGTGCTATCTTGTGGGGTCCTTGTGAGGTCCGCTGAGGCTCTGCAAGGGGAAGGTCTCGGCCCAGTCCCTGGCACACGGGAAGTGGCTGCTGTCACGCCTGTTCAGGGCTCTGGCTGTGAGAGGGAAGTTGGGGTCCTCACTCCTATGAGACGCAGAGCCCTTCCAGGAGCTCCTTTCTGCTCCCGTGGGAAAGGCAGCATCCTCCCAGTGGTGTGGGCCTCCTCCCTCCTGGGAATGTGTCCCGCGGCCGAGACAAGGAAGTGGTTTTGAAAGCACTGAATCAGACTGTGGAGACACCGAGGAGCCTGTTCTAATAAAAACAGCCAGCAGTGTCTGAGTCACTGGACATGGAAGCCCCAGCCACCCCCGAGACTGGCCTGGCTCAGCCTACGGACACATCTTTGATGGCAGAAGGCAGGGAGCGGGAAAGAAGGCAGAGGCTGTAAATCATAGACCCCCAGGGACAGAGGTGAGGGCGGGGCAGAATAGGACCAGAGTCTTAGCGTGAGAGGGACTTAACGGCCTCCTCTTCCTGTCGCGAGGAGTGCAGAAAGCTGCCCTTGGAACTACGGAGCACACTGTGAGGTCCAAAGAAGGGGAGAGGCTGGGCCTCGGGTGTGTGGCTGAGCTGGGGCTAGGGCTAGGGTTTGGCCGTGAGCCTGTGCTGCCGGCCTGGGTGGTGGTGCTGGGATGCCCCCCGCGGCCCTGCGGGACCACAGCCAAGTTGGCGGCAGCTGTGATGGAGGAAGCGAGGGGCCCACGGTGCCCGCCTGGGTGGTGACTCGGGATGTCTGCTGAGCCGAGCTGCAGTCCCACGGGCCCGTCAGCCCTCGGCCGTCCCACTGGCGTGTCCGGGAGGTCGGGCAGCCGGGCACAGCGCCGTGGTCCCCCAGGCTGTCTGGTCTGATGCTGCCCCCCAGTGAGCCAGCTCACAGCCCGGAGCGAGGCTGACTCGGGCAGAGAGCTAATGCCTAGGTGGCTGTGAGGGTCGGACACGACGTGGGGCTTAAGAGCGCGGGGCGCCAGGGAGGTGGAGGCGGGCCAGGCACGGCCGTAACCCCCCTCGTAGGGCGGTGTTTTCCCGGAGGAGCCACTGAGGCACACGCAGTGCTGAGCATGGCCTGCGGGTGTGTGGCCCGGAGGCGGCAGAGCCGGGCTTCCATCCTGGGTGCAGGCCGCTGGCAGTCATGTCAGCCCCAGACTGGGGACTGCCCCCTCTCACCCTGCCCTGGAAAGTGCCCCTCCCCAGCTCCCCGCCCCCGGACTGGGCAGTTTCCCTCCTCGGCTCAGACGTGCCCCTCCCTTGTCTATCTGACTTTTCTCTTGGAATGAATCTCACTTCCCTGTCCTCACCCTTTGCAACCTGCCACCCTCTAAGATACAAGCCATGACCCTCAGACTGAATCATGCAGGGACTTAGAAAGCCAGCCCCTCCTCGCCTCCTTCCCCATTTAGGGCAGGAGTCCCTGCTGCCCCATTCATCCTCCTGCTATGTCAGTGTCTGCTGGCACACCTTTCCATTTCTGGAAAGTTCTATCTTTGCTGAGTTAGAATTAATGCCCTCTGGTTCTCAGGCCTGGCTGTGCATCAGAGTCCTGAGTGTGTGTGTGTATATGTCTGTCTGTGTATGTATGTGTTTATATATAGCGTGTGTATGTATGGGGGGGTGGGTGGAGCTGGGAGACGGTCTTAAAAAAAGCCCCTTGCCTGGGCGCACGCCCAGACATTCAGATTCGTGAATGAGTGGAGTGAGATTGAGGGTCTGTCTTACACAAAGCTCTGCAGAGGATTTTTCTCCACATCCAGGCCCTCTCTTCCAGCTGCTCCCGAGGCTCACAGATGCCCAGCACACCCAGCCCTTTCATCCCTTGTCCGTGCCTTGGCTCCTGCAGTTCCATTTGCCGGGCGGGCCCTCACCCATCCCATCTCTGCCTGGCCAGTTCGCACGCCTCCAGGCTCCAGTCCGAAGCCCCTCACTGGAGGCCACGGCCACGCGCCCCTCCTCACGTGCGGCTCTCCATCCCGTGATCTCGCAGCGCGTAGTGTCTGGGTCTGTGTCTCCCCGATCATCCAACAGTTCAAGGACAGACGCCCTTCTTATTAATTCATTTCCATATCCCAGGGACCAGCCAAGCCATGGAACATAGTAGGGCCTCAAGAGATATGTGTTGAATGTGGACCAGCAAATTACCAGATTTTAATTTAAAATTAAAGACTCAACATTCCCATTTTGTCGCAGGCCACACTGATTCTCCATCCACACTAACCCCTGAAAGCCAGCAGCAGCCTGTGGGAGGCGGGAGCCCTGACCCTGAGCGCCCAGGGTCAGCTCAGCAGCTCTGCCGTGATCCCAGGCTTCATGGCTGCCTTGGTGAGGGTTTGTCTAAAGAGGTCTTTAGCTTGCAGGCTGGAGGCAGGGATTCCCTGTCGCTCAGCGTTTGCCTCATTGAGTTACTAAGCTGAGCCCACCCTTGGCTGACTGTCCTGTTTCCTGCACCCTGCCCTGCCCCACCTGCCTCGTCTCAAATCCCACATCCCTTAGGAAGCCACTTGGCTTCCGGCCACCAGCAGCCTTGCTCCAGGATAGACGCGGGCTTTCTCGGCCCCATCAGGGAAGCGTGTGAAGTGGCTTCCCCTGGACCCTTGGCAGGGAGAGGAGAGGAGAGGGTCTGCCTGGGGCAGAGGTCCTTACTGCTCAGCTCGACCGCCATGCAGCTGGGAATGCGGAGTTCTTCCTTGGGCTTCTTCCCAGCCTCTCCTTGGGCGGGAGCATGCCTGCGTCCTGCTCCCACTCCTGGTCCCTGCCTCACCAGGCTTCTTCAGTGCCTCCTCCTGGCCGAAACCTCAGCCCCCCAGGTCCATGCTCTCAACACCAGGAAACTCCCTAAAGTACACACCTGCCCGATTCCCCCATCCTGATCCCCAAGGGAGGCTGTTTGTTGCTCCTGGGACCAGCCCACACTTCTCACCTAAGAGCCAGTGCCATCCCTCTTGCTGCCTCCCCCGGCTTCATCCCCCTGCCCATCCTCCAACCCTCTCCAAGCGCTTGTCCCTTCTTCCCTCAGCACCTTCCTCCGTTCCTGCTTTCTGAAGCAGTTTATTCTTCAAGGCTCCACTTCTTGAAGCCTTCCATCCTTGCTCTCACCTTGGAAACTTTATAGTGCAGTAAACTGCATCTTTTTTTTTTTAACTACAGAAATATTCCATATTCATTATTGAAAAAACACATGCAGATGAGCAAAAACATAATTATTACCTTAATACCCAGAGAAATCACATCTAGTGATGTGGATGATGGTCACCATTTATGGGCTCAGGCTCTGGACCTGGCCCTGTACCAAGCACCTCCGTGCACTTGATACCTTTTCAGTAGTTACTATTGGCCCCATTTTATAGGGGAGGAAGCTGAGGCTCAGTGAGGTTATATGACTTACTCAACATAACATAGCTAATAAGAGGGGAGTTGGGATTTGACCTGAGTTTGATTATGAGAACTGAACCATTAAATCCTAAGTTGTGGGGCCCATAAGAATCTCCGTTGTTCTGATGGACTAGAGACTCATCATTTATATATTAGTTTCTGACCTTAAGGAAATAACCTTCTGTTATTAGTCACGATAGGTAAGTGATGGTTGTGGTAAGAAATTTACCCTGAAACCTTAATGTCTTAGTTATGTCCTGTTCATACCACAGATCCAACACTGGTCGGCGGAATCCTTCTGTTCACCCCTGTCCCTTGAGCTCAGAAAATGATGAGACTGTTTGACCACCGATGAGCCCTGGGTCACAGGAACTGCTATTTGATTCTGGGTCTGGGGATGACCTTTGCTACCTTTTATCAGGATTTCTACCTAGCTCTCTGAACCAACTGTTGGTGGTTTTGTTTGTTGTTTTCTAGTTGGCAAAGGTGGTTAAGATATAGGTTGGCTTTGGAAAAGCTGCACAGAAACTGAAGTTTCCTAGAAAGGAAACCATACGTGTCTTTTACTTTCATAGGCCTGCATGCTTAGTATACATCTGGGGTTGGATTTATCCAGCTTTCACTGAACACAGCCCTCCTCCCCATTGCTCCCTCCCTTCCTTCCTTCTCCCCCCCCCTTCCTTCCTCTTTCCCTTCTTTTCTTCCTTCCTTCCGTCCTTCCTCCCTCTAACATATCTTCACTGAGCACCTTCTCCGTGCTGGCCTGGGATGCAGGGGTCACAGGCGTGTGCTCCAAGAGCTTCATCCGAGAGTCGCAGAGTCTCACTGTAAACTGAACAAAATTTAATTACCTCCATGTGCACCTGTTTCAGGGACTGGGGAAGATCAGTGATGACCCAGGTACACAATAGGCAGGATAAGGCTTTCTGAGTTTATTCAGCTTTTGTGGAGATACTGTTTTCTCCAGTGATATTCATCACCATCTTTTCTGCTCTCATGCCAAGTAAATCCTTTTGGGTCTCATTTTTCCTCCCTGCAGTCTCAAGAAGCAAAAGTTGAACCCATACACACACCTCCAACTCCATCCCCTGCCTCTGAGGATGCAGAGCTTTCCGGTGAGCCTGTACCTGAAGGGACCACGGAAACCAGCGACTTGAGTGCTGCCCCGCACAGCAGCCCTGAGCGAGGCAAGTCCCTGGAGCGCCTTCATACTCAGTGGGTTATGTTGAGTGATGACTGACTGGGTGATGTGTTTATGTACAGATGATGTATGTGTGGAGCATCTCACTTGACTTTCCCCTCAACCTTGAGTAAGGAGCAGCAATCATCCTCATCTTACAAATAAGATGGAGAAGTCAAGTCATGGAGAAGTGATATCACCCCGCTGAGACTGTACAGCTCGTAAATGGCAGAGCTGGCATTTAATCTTGATGCCAAGAACTTTTAACCCCAAGACTCCACCCCTCTAGGAGGGCCTGGGGTGTGAAAAGCTTGTGATCATTGTGACTGTTTACTCAATACCTACTGTGTGCTAAGTGTTATATACTTCCTCTCCAATCCCCACAACACATTTCCTAGTTGGTAGTATTAGCCAGGATATTACAGATGGAAAAACTGATGCTTGGATAGGTGATCAACATGTCCACAGTCACACAGCTAATGAGTGGTGGAACTGAGCCAGCACTCAGGCCTGACTACAGAATCCCCACTCTTCCCAGCCTTGGCCACAAACTCACCGACTCTCAGAGGATCAGGCCATGTAAACTCCTGTTGGCACTTGTCAGAAACTAACTGATGGCCAGAGAATGGCAGACACCCAGGAGGTTATCAGCAGGCCCTGGCCTCCCGGTTCCCCACCCAAGGCTCTCAGCATTGCTCAGCCATACAGAGGAGCCCCTGCAGAAGGCCACGGTCTGACAGATCCCCCAGGCAGCAGATGGACATGTGCCCACAGCCTGAGATCAACCTGCGTTTTCTGCCCTTTATCAGAGGGGTAGCTATTCAAATTGAAGTAAGTTATAGCTAACACCAGAGCACCGAGATTTAGGTACAAGACCCCCCACATTCACACGTGCAGCCCTGGAACTGGTGACACAGAAGAGTTAATTACCCAGGGACATGGTCGTGGTGAACTCTGTAGGAAAAGCAGCTTTCAAAACTATATGTGTGCTATGACCCTAAATATGAATATATGTTGCTGCTGCTAAGTCACTTCAGTCGTGTCCGACTCTGTGTGACCCCATAGAAGGCAGCCCACCAGGCTCCCCATCCCTGGGATTCTCCTGGCAAGAACACTGGAGTGAGTTGCCATTTCCTTCACCAATGCATGAAAGTGAAAAGTGAAAGTGAAGTTGCTCAGTCGTGTCTGACCCTCAGCGACCCCATGGACCGCAGCTTTCCAGGCTCCTCCGTTTATGGGATTCTCCAGGCAAGAGTACTGGAGTGGGGTGCCATTGCCTTCTCCGTTGAATATATGTTACTTATATCTATTTATATATTGCCATGTAGAGCTGTATGTGTGTGTTTGTATGTGTGTGTGTGTGTTAGAATGATATACAACAAAATGTTGTGAGTAGTTGTCTCTGGGTGGCATGATTGTAGGTCGTTTTCACTTTCTTTTTTCTTCTGTATTTTATAAGTCTAAAAAGATGACTTAGATGGTGAAGAATCTGCCTGCAGTGCAGGAGACCCAGGTTCGACCCCTGAGTCAGGAAGATCCCCTGGAGAAGGAAATGGCCAACAACTCCAGTATTCTTGCCTGGAGAATCCCCTGGACAGAAAAGCTGGTGGGCTATAATCCATGGGGTTGCAAAGAGCCAGACAAGCCTGAGCAACTAACACTTTTACTGTCCTCAGTAAATGAATGTTATTTTAGCAAGTAAACTTGGGAAGTCTGTTCATGAGAGAAGGTATACAGGACTGAATAAAAAAATTGTGTAATAATTTAATAAAGTCGCAATACCAGCAAGGAGTCAGGGCGTAGCTGTGGAAAGACTGCGGGCTCAGAGAAGACCCTTGGACGGAAGCCCTGCTCAGCCACCTCTTTGCTGTCTGGGAAGGCTGCTCCACATTTCCAAGCTTTGGATTCCTCCTCAGTCCTCCGGGAGCGTTCACAAGCCCTGCCTCCCGGGTGGGTGAGAGGGTTGAGCGTTGCCGCCGCGGGTTTGGAGGTGGTTTGTGAGCTGCGCCTGCTGCTCTCCGGGGGGTGATTAGCATCACAGAGAGGAGCAAGGAGCGGGCCGAGGCCGCGGGGTCGGAGGCGAGGCCTCTCCTAGAAGTGAGCGCGTAGGAGGTGGGGCCCAGTCTGAGCGCAGCTCGCCGGTTGCCGGCGTCTGCCAGATTCCTCCTGTGGCGGACGCGCCGGGCGGATACAGCAGAGCTGGCTAGAGATCTCTAGAGGAAGGAGCTGGACCCCGGGCCCCACGCCTGGAAAGCCTCCCAAGACGTGTATCCAAGGGTCGCTGACGCCATCCCGGCACGGGACCGCGGAGCCACCCTCACCCTCGCCCGTCCAGCGGTGGGGAACCCGAGGCCGGGGGTCCCCCGGCGCTGGCGCAGCGCCCCCGGTGGCCAGGGTGGGCAGCACGCGAGAGCGGCTGGCGCGGGGCTGGCGACCCCAGGACGTTGTCTTGAACTGCGCGCGGGCACGGCTTCCCTTGAGGGGCCCAGCACCTCCCTTCGACCCCGTCCTCGCCGCGCGGTGTGGCTGAGCGCAGCACCTGTGTAAATGGCTGGCTTCAGGGCCCTCCCAGCCTCTGGTGTGGGCCTTGTTCTTCCTCTGCAGAATGGGACTGATAATCACAGGGTGCTAACACGCGGGTCACGCGCCGTGGCGCGGCAGCGGGAGGCTGAAGCGTGGGACTCCTTCCTCGGCTCTGCCCACCGGCTGTGCGGTGGTGGGAGGTCCTTGTCGGGAGCACCGCCGGGCCAGCCGGAGGCTTCCAGCAGGGCGTGCGTGGCCCGAGTTAGCCTGGGGCCAAGCCCGTGACAGGCAGGCAGTCGTGTTCGTTTACTGTCTTTTCCTTTGCTTTAGGACTCCATTTGTTTCTTAAATTGCAAAAGAAATATGTGCTTGCGGTAACAGTTCAATCGATGCAGAGTCGCACGAACCAAAAAAGTGGTAGTTTCCTCTCCTGTCCTTTGGAGGAAACCAATATTAAGTACTGTGGTTTAGCCTAATATGTGTGGTTTATCTGCACACACACGTATATGTATGTATCTATATATTTTATATGTTGTGTATAATAATATATTAATTATATATTGGTGATAATATATCTAAAGATAATGAAGCATGTATTCTCATACAAATATTTTTTTCCTTTTACAAATATAGAACCACACTGACAATGAACATTTATTTACCCATTGCTAACTGTATGGCAAGCACTGTCCTCAGTGCTGTGCTTGCGTTAGTTTAATTAATCTTTGTAACACATAATCTTCAAAATGACCCTATGAGATAGGAGTTACAATCCCTTCTTTATAGGCAAGCAACCTGAGCCACAAGTTAAATGATTGCCACAGGTCACATTCCTAGTAGACGGCAGAGCTGGGTTCTGACCCTACAGCTGATGCTGGAGCCTGTGATGGAAACCACCTTGCAATACTGCCTTTCAGAGTCTTTCTGCAACACTTTTCCCCTCTTAATCCTGTGTTACGAACATCTTTTCAAGTCATAGATGAAAAGAAACCTCATTCTTTTTCACTTGCAAAGTGCAGTTATTCATTGAAAACTGCCTGCTTCCTGTAGGGTCCGGTGAGATCCTGAATGGCACAGTGGAGACACTTGAGACTGTGGACGGTTCCCCGGCTACAGACACTGGCTCGGGGGATGGGGCCTTCCTGCACGTCACTGAAGAGGTGAGTGAATGGTAAATTTCATGTAAGTCAGTAGTACCTTTGCTTGCTTCTTTCAGACTTGATGGTGACTTGTCTTGGGCACTGCAGAAGGCTGCAAGAGCTTTAGATGACCACCATGGAGACTGCCTCCCTCTTTCTGGTACAGAGGAGGTGGGGGTCCCAGGGCCCAAGATGCTCCCCAAGGATGTACCAGGACAGGGGAGGAGACACAGCTAAGGCTGGTCCTCAGACCTCCCCAGAGGTGAACACTGGGTTCTCAACACAGAACCTGACTCCCTCCTATTGTGAAGATGCACAGCCTCTTCCGCCCTTTGAGCCCCTTCAGGATAGAATCAGATTTATTGCAGGTGTGTCCGCTGTATTGTTTGGAAACTGGCTTTTACACGTGCAAAGCCAGTTGTTTAAAATACTGGACATGGGAGGGTGCCAGATTAAAACATGTTTCTCACCTCTGTTAGTTGCTCAGTCATGTCGTCTCTGAGACCCCATGGACTGTAGCCTGCCAGGCTCCTCTGTTCTTGGAATTCTCCAGGCAAGAATACTGGAGTGGGTTGCCATTTCCTTCTCCAACTCAGAACCCTCTCACCTCTGGCCTTTGCTAAGAACTGTGTGTCAGCTCATTCCTTCCCCTCTCCTGGGACGAAAATTCAAGACGCTTCTCTCCCAGTCACTGTCTGGTAAACAGCCTATTTTCACAGGTATTTCCAAAATGCAGTTCAGCATAATATCAAAAATCTAATAAAAATACAGATACAACTAGGAGCCAGGCAGGGAAGGAAGCACGGGAACTTCCTGTCTATTTTCTTACTTCTTTCTCCTCTCTCTCATCACCACCCACCCCCCAGCAGCTGTTTTCAGCATCTGCAGAGCCTGGCCCATCTGGAGAAAGCGGCACGTTTTATGTGGCTGGTCAAGACTATGATCTGGGCCTTTTGTGGGGAAGACGTCTTATTGTTGAATATTCTCTCATGGGGGCTTTTGTGATTCCCCAGAGGTCCTCCTGCAAGGGATCTAGGACCTTAGTCCATTTTTGACCTTTTAACTTCCTCCTGGGCTTCCACCCTCTGGTCACCCTGAACCTCTAGGGGGCCCTGTGGATTGAGCTCATCTCAGGATGGCTTTAATGGCTCTTTTTGGAGCGGTTGCTATCATTCTGTCACCAGGAAAGCAACAGCAGGACAGTTCTCTCTCTGTCTCTCTCTTCACTCTGCGTCTAGATGGCTTCCTGCTTTTGCCTTTGGTATTTCCCCGAGGGAACCAAACACCAGTCCCTCTGTCTCCCAAAGTCCAAAGGCTATGCATTCTGCGAAACAAGTGGTGGAGGGTGGGGGGAGCCACAGCACACAGAACGTTGTCTCCAGAGGAAGCTTTCTTTAATAGTTTTTTAAAATGTATTTATTTATTTTTGGCTGTGCTGGGTATTTGTTGCTTTCACTAGTCATGGTGAGCCAGGGTTTCCTCATTGCGGTGCGTGGGCTTCTCATTGTGGTGGCTTCCCTTTTTGTCGAGCACAATCTCTAGGGCAGGTGGGCTTCAGGAGTTGAATTCCCAGGCACTGGAGCGCCGGCTCAGCAGTTGTGGTGCACAGGCCTAGCTGCCCAGCGGCACGTGGAACCTTCCTGGACCAGGGATCAAACCTGTGTCCCCTGTTGGCAGGCTGATTCCCACCCACTACCACTAGGGAACTGCCGGAAGGGATTCTTATTCTCTAATTGCTTAGCCGCTAAATGAATTCTTTCCCTTTTCTTACATAGCCCGGCCAGTAGGATAGGATAGAGCTGATTCCGTTTCCTTTCATTGTCTCTATGCATGTCCCGCATAAGGAGTCTGGCTCTTTTATTTTTTAGAGGTTAACAGAGGTTATCTGAAGCCTGTTGAATTATACTTGCCCTTTGGAACTTTAGCTGACACTGAGTCAGAATAAAATCTCGTTTTAACAACTTATTGACCAGAGATGTATTAATGCGTCTTTTGCCACTCAAACATTATTGACTGGAGTGTTTCAATATTCACTTATATAACAAATCACCAACCAAAGGCTTTAGTTTCTGCAAAAATCCCCTGGTCAATAATATGTTAAAATCCTATGACATCATCTTTTCTCTGTTTTTTGGGGGACAATAATTCTATAAGGATTTAATGTTATAAGAGAAAAGAGTTCTGTAGCCCAGTGAGTTTGGGAAATGGTCCTGTCTGTATTCTGGTTATAGGCTCTAAGTCCTTCAGCAAAGAAATCTAACTCTGATCAGTTTAGTGTTTTTAGTATCAAAAGAACTAGTTTCTGCAATGAAACAGCAAAACCCCACCCCAGATTTTTTTTCAAAAACCAAACCTTTGTGAAACCGAGATAAAGCACAGTTGGTTTGGAGACACCAGCAGCCAAAGCTGCTCTTTCTCATCATATCCCGCATCTGCTGTGTAACCTTCAGAGAATCTGCTTGTGAATTTTCTAAGGAAATGGAGTCACAGGGAGAGGGAGTGGTATCCAGTCTTGAGAAGGCTGAGGAGGACAGGGTTTCTGCCTACATATCTCTGGAGCACTGTTGTGGGGGAGGACACTCACCCTTTTCCTGTGCTCCTGGATGGGCTCGCAGGAGCGGTCAGGGGAGGCAGACGGGCTCAACTGAAGTGTCTAGTCCTCGGGCAGATGTCTCAGGAGGCAGCGATCTCCCAGTCACTGGTGTGGCAAACAGATGCTTGGAATCAGACGGAAGGCTCAGGGGCCTTGCAGTCTCTCCCGCCACAGGGATTCTGGGGGCTTTTGTGGAGCTGGGGCAACGTCATAGATAAGAAAGTACTTTGAGGAAAGAAGCTACTGAGATGCAAATTGCCAGCCACAGCCTTCTTGATCAGGGCTGTGGGCAAGTGATCCGGTCCCTAGTGATGTCTCTGTTCCCAGGGTCCATACACAGATTTGGCAGCCACAGCAGCGGGGGAGGCCAAGGTGCCCACCAGCCCTGCTGCGGAAGCAGACGCCAGCAGTGTGCCCGCCGGGGGACTGACGCTCTCCATGTCTGCCGAGGACCCCGGGGAGGGCGTCACTCCGGTAAGCAGCTCAGCGTGCGTGTTCTACTTCACTTGTTTCTGGAGTTCGGTGGCATCTCAAGTGGGAGCGGTCACTGGTCTTCCTCACCTGCTTGCAAAGTACAGGGTGGTAGCCTTGTGGGGCCAAGTCCAGGTAGACTCGGATTTGGAGGCCCGGGCCTCCGTTGACTGATTCAGCAGCTGTTTGTGGAGTACTGTGCTGTGGCGGGCCCCAGGTGAAAAGGACAGACCCGGCCCCGGGGGACCGAGAGGGGTGAGGTGAGATGGGAGGAGCACAGGAGAGCCCCCAAGGGGCCCAGAACCCAGAGCTGGGGGTCCAGGAGGCCTTTCTGGGTTAAGGGCGCTGAGGGGGAGACCAGGGGATGCTTAGAAGTAGCCTCATGGTGGGCGTGAGACAGGTGTTCCAGGAGGCAGGCCAGTAGGAGCAGAAGCCGGAGGCATCAAGATGAACACAAAAGTCCTACACAAGTGCAGCACGCCTGTGGGCCAGCCGTGCACAGTGGGGAGGGAAACGGCTGGACAGGCCTCCGAGCCCACAGATGCTGGGAACACTCAGCAGAAGTGGGGAGTCCCCGAAGGGTATTTCGGAGGAAGGGACGTAGTCGCAGCAGGATCTTAGATCCCTTGACTCCTGAGTAGGGAAAGAAGGAAGCAAGCAAGCCGGGAGGTGGGCAGGTGGGTTTGGGGCTGCGTCTGGGTCTGGACCTGGGGTGTTGCCTTGCTGCAGGGGTAGTTAGTGATGCCACCTCCTGCCAAGAATCCCAGTGAGTAAAGGCCTGGAGAACACCCATCAGATCTGTCACAGTGGCGGTCGGTGGCCTCAGGGAGGGCAGCTTCCGCTCCTTCGGGCCACAGCGCAGCGGGTCAGCGATGGCGGCCCAGCTGATGTCTTTCTACTCAGGGTCCAGAAAACGAAGAAGGTTCGGCAGCAACAGCGGCCGGGGAGGCCGAGGAACCCGTCAGCATTGCCAGGGGAGCAGAAGCCGGCAGCGTGCCCACCGGGGGGCTCACCCTCCTTATGCCCACCCAGGACCCTGGAGAAGCGGTCACTCTGGTAAAGAGTGTAATGTGCTGGAAGGCTGCGGGTCACAGCTGGGAGCAGATCCCAGCCTTCTGGGTGGGCTGGTCTCCCAGTCCCTCTCCTGTCTGCCTGGACCTTTTCCTCCCCCACCTTCCCTCCTTTAATTCCTGCTTATCCTTAGAGTTCAGCTCAAACATCACTTTATTAGGAAGGTGCTTCCCAGGCTGTGACGTCTGCCTGTCAGACACGTTCACAGCAGCCCCGAATGTCTCCTTGGGAAGCCTCATCACAATCGTAATTAAGAGTAGACTTGGTAAATTGCTCATTTCTGGCTCTCAGCTAGGCTGTGGGCTCTGCGAGGCTGGGGAGCACACACATCTTGCTCATAGATCTGTCTGCATCCCTACGGATGCTGGGGACTCAGAAGATGCTTGCTGAGTGTGTGAAAGCAGGGGTCATCAGGCCGTCACACACCAACACTGATCTTTGAGATCCTTCCACACATTTGTTCTCGACCTTTCACCTCTGGTACTGATGTCCAGACAAGGACACTCTACAGTGGGGAGGGTATGCATGTGCCAGGTGATGGGGCTCCCCAGGCCACTAGGTGGTTACATGGATTATTTTAATTAACTAATCGTCACTACCACCTGCTCTTTCTTTTTCTTCCTCTTCTTCTTCACCTTGCTTCCCCCCACCCCTTACTTTCTTCTTTAAAGGCAAATCCCTTGTCACAGGGAGAGAAAACTGGGGATCAGGTTCCCGTCTTTACTGAAAAGAAACTAAACTAGCTGTCTGGAGATAGAAGGGCTTCCTGTGCAGGCGGGGAGCTCCCGTCACTGAAGATGTGCTTCCAGCAGAGATGTCTTGGAGGGGACTCTGGGGCAGGGAGGAGATGACCTGAGGGGTGCATTCTAAGCCTGGAGTTCTGGGGGGTCTGTGGGCTAAGGCTGGTCCTAGATGAGCTGTGGCCATGCTTTTGTCTGATGACCTCAGTCGTTTCCTCCCTGCGATCACACACCCAGCATCCCAGGGGGTGGGTGAGGTGGACGATCCCTTGCCCCAATCTCCTTTCAGAGTCCAATCAGTGAAGAAGGCTCTTCAACAATAGCAGCTGTGCCGCTCGGCACTTTTGAGGAAGAAGAGGCCAGCGGGGTCCCCACCGATGACCTGGCTTTCGTCACACGCACGGCGGCCCCCGAGCGAGGGGTCACTTCTGTAGGTGTCTCCTGGCATCCTTTCCAGCTCACAGTGGGGAGGGGGGTCAGGGTCATGAGACTGGAGCAGTTGCTGGCCTTCCCAGAGCCAGATGCACAGGCGACTTCGTTAGGGTGCGGATTTAGGTGGGCACCAACAGAGGGAGGCAGGATGTAACTGAGGAGCATGGCGGAGGGGGTCGGGGAGCAGGCTTGGTCCTGACCCTCCTACGCCCAGCTTTATCCAAGGAGAACTTTAGACCGCGTTGCTGGGGTGGGGGGAGGCAGTGAGCACTGCTGGGGAGGCGGGCTTAGAGGAGACGCACGTTTCAGAAGAGGGTCATGAGCCTGTGCCTCGGTGAGCGTGTCGGGGGTAATGACAGTTGTAGGTAGGCAAGCGCTCTGAAACTGGGCTAGCACCCCTCAAGGGACCATCGACAAAACGCCCCAGCGGCGGTGGGCACACGGCCTTGTGGGTGAGGCGACACGAGTCCTTACGTCGCTTTGGCTTCTCAGGGTCCTGGTGACGAAGACGTCGCAGCAGCCACGACAGAGGAGCCCCTTACGGCGGCTGCGGCAGACGCACTGGGCAGCGGCCCCCCGGAGGGGCCCCCGCTCCCCTCACCCTCGGTGGCGCCTGAAGGAGGGGCCCCTCCGGTAAGTGAGGATTTCACTTCGCGTAGAGGTGTGAAGGTTTGACTCGGCCAGTCTGACAGAGGACGGAAAGAAAGGTTGGAGTTGTGGGAAGGGCCTGGGTGTTCATCTTGGTTTGCAACATGCAGAGCTGGGGCTTTGGAGCGAACACACTGCAGTTTGTAGAGATAAAGCAAGAGGAAAGAACCTCGGGCAGCTGGCTTTGTGTCCCAAGTTGCCCACATCTTTAATTGAAGTGAGTCTAACAGGCAGACCTGCCGAAAGGTACAAAGGCCCATTTCAAATGTCATGAGATTCCCATTCTGAAGGTGAGAAAGCTTATAAGATGTGGCAGAGACTGCCAAGGAAATAGAAACATCAAAGGTGTGCGTGTGTGTGTTGGGGTGGGGAGAGGGTTGCATTACCTACAGCGCCTTGTAACACGAGTTCCTATAATTCTGGGTCGCAACTATACGACCTCAGGCAAATCCTTTTCTTTGGGCCTCAGTTTCCTCATCCGTGAAAGAGGGAGGCTGTGATGTCAGGTCAGAAATGCAGGTCAGCGAATGTTTGGAAAGTTCCGTGCGCAGGTGTGAGGTTGTCAGTACTTAAGGGCTGTGACTTTGTCTTTGGGAAATGGGAAACCCAGAGCCAGTCCTCAGCGTGGGCTTGTGTGGACTGCGGAATTAAATTGCCCTTTAAGTGTCAATATTTTTAAAGGAAAGTGTTCCATGGGTGACCAGCGTGGGCTTGCCAGCCCCGCGAGTAGCGCTTGGTCACACATATGCTTTCAGAGCCTTGAGTCAACCTCCAGGCACGGGCCCCTCAGCCGCAGTGCTCCAGGGCTGACCGGGGACTGGAGGGACCCGGGCTGGTGCATCCGAGAGCCAGCTGCAAGTCCCAAGCGCCCACTGCGCTGGCACCTGGTGCTTATCAAGCTCTGCGGCGTTGCTTTATTTTTCGTTCATTCACTTGTTGATGTTCTCATGATTCAATGCACAGCAACTCAGAGCCTCAGTCTATACACTGGGAAACTGAGATGAATATGACCTCGTTCCTATCCCCAAGGAACTCACAGTGAAGGGGCAGGAAATAATCCTTCTGCATGGACATTTATTAAGCACTCTGGGTTCCAAGCTGATCTGATTCTATGCACAGCAGCACTCTCCGGTGCAAGGAGCGTCATCTCTGTTTCCCAGGAAAGGGGAGCGACACTTAGGTAGAGGGACCTGCCTGCTCTGGCATGCCGCTGAGACCAGGGCCAGGACTTGAGCCCGGGCACGCTGCCTGCAAAGCTCATGCCCGGAGCATCCCCGAGAGTGTGGTGTAGTGGGGAGGCCCCAGGCTGGGAGCCGGGAGGCTGAGGTTCTGACTTGTGGTGAGTCTTGGTGTTGCTTTCTGTAAAGGAGGAGGTGAGCAAGAGCTCTGGTTTTTAAACGTTTCTGCATCTTGGAGACACCTGGGATGCTCAGGTTGCTGCAGGCGTCTGAGTCCATTGCCAGGCCAGTGGCGGAGCCCCTGGTGCTAGGGTTCATGCTCCCAGGAGACGCGACTAGACAACGAACATGGAACCCACCAGGCTGGCTGTGATGCCCGTGGCCCCCAGCGCCTGTGCTGCGGCTCCCCAAGTGACATCCCCCTGCTCCTCTGCTCCTCACCCCAAGGAGCACACGAAACCCCAAGACTGCATCTCCCCACAGAGATGCCACATCAGGGGCAGCTGTGCTGGCTGGCCATGTGCCTTCAAATAGAGCCAGTTCTCCTTCTTCTTTTTGTAAAACTTTTTAATTATGGCAACTCTAAAAAGTCCCGAAAGGACTTACAATAATATAATAAACCCCCTCATGTACATCAGTCAGCAACATTATGTATCTTCCTTTTATCTGTTCCACCTCCCACAGCTATCTTTTTGGAGTGGAGGGAAGGGGAAGGCTGGGGTGTTTTAAAGCAAATCCCAAGCATCATATCATTTAACTCAAAAACACATTAACATGTATTGTTAAAACGCTGGCCTGGGACGTTCTTTCCCTTTGCCACGGTATCATCCATCAGTGGGTAATAATGGATCTCATTATACATCTAACAAAGCTGACCATGGTTCCTTCACATCATCTAATACCCTGGCCATTTAAAAATGCCTTTTTATGGTTAGTTTGGTTCTGAATCCAAACAGGGCCTACATTGTTTGGTTGATGTGTCTCTTAAGTCTCTTTTAGTCTATGATTGTCTCCCACCTACTCTGTTCTTTTTGCCGTTGATTTGTTGGGAAACCTGCTTCGGTTGTCCTTAGAGCCTTTATATTCTGTGCTTTGAGAAGCTGGTGTTTGGTGAGGACCTGGTGAGACCACGATGCTGGTGGCAGTGTCAGTGGCTGGAGACTTCTGAGAAGTTCTGTGTCAACACTTATAAGCACCATAAATCACATTTTGTTGACCCAGACACTTCTGTTCTAGGAATCAATGCTAAAAGAAGTAGTCTTATATTAAAAAAGCTTTCTGTACATGGATGTTAATCTCGGTATTGTCCCTAATGGAAAAAGAAAACTGGATACAGTTTAGCCAACAATAGGGGAGTTAACTGAATTCAAGGATGTTCAAATAATGGGACATTATGCAGCTATTAAAATTAAACTTACTAGGAGTATTTAATGACAGAGGAAAATACTTACTGTATAATGCTAAGTGAAAAAAGCTGGTTATGAAATTCAGCATGCTGTGTGGTCTTAACTATTTAAAAATAGACACATGCAAAAGCCTGGAAAGGAAATGCCCTTTCTAAATGTCAGCAAGTATGGCCTTAAAGTAGCAGAACGGTGGTGGTTGATAAGTTCTTAATATATGATGGTGTTTTCACCAAGGGTGCTTCTGACTTTTCCAATGAAATTTTTTAAAATTTCTAAGAAGAGAGGTTGGGGCTTCTCTGGTGGCTCAGTGGTAAAGAATCTGCCTGCCAGTGCAGGAGACACGCTATCCACCCCTGGGTCAGGAAGGTCCCCAGAAGGGGAAACGGCCACCCACTCCAGTGTTCTTGCCTGGGAAATCCCCTGAACAGAAGAGCCTTGCGTGTGGTCATAAAACAGATATGACTTAGTATCTAAGCAACAACAAAAAGGAGAGATGGGGAGGGGGGAGAAAGGAGAAAGGGAAAGACGAGTGTGCGGCATTCCATCCTGCACATAACCTGCGAAGATACATCACCCTGAGTACCTGGGTCTGGAATCTGTGACGAGCTGAAATAGGTACCCTGATGCCTCAGCAAATGGTTTAAAAACACAACAAAGACAGTAACAGGAGCACCCACTCTGAAGTATCTTTTGGATGATTTTGAATCTTAGACTCACCCAAGGTAACGGGTGAGAGGGACACCCACATCTGGCCCTGCCACACCCCTCTGTCTGATTGTGTGTATAATGGGGATGTAGACCTTCTCCCTGGGCGTGGTGAGAATCAGATGAGCTAATACCTGGAAAATTTTACCTGGCATGTGGTACATGCTCAACAAATTAGGTTTATAAAGCTCCTGCATAAGCCTCCTCTGAAGATGAGCATCGTTTCTGCAGAGAGACGGGGACGGGAGGAAGGGGTGCCCAGTGCTCCACTGACATCTTGTTCTCTTTAGGGTGAAGCTGAGGAGGGGTTTCCTGGCCCCCCTGGACCTGCCGGGCCTCCTGAACCCACGGTGAGGTTCCTACCCATGCTTGTCGCGTGCGCAAAGTGCCGGGGCCAGGGATGCAGGAAACAGCCACAGAGGATTCTCCTCCCAAGTGCCCTCCAGGCAGAGCTCGGCGCTCACCCCTGGACCAGGACTCTCTCCTGGAGCCCAGGAGTTTTATATTTATAAAGCGCCTTTCTATCCTGTGCCCGGAAAGGCCCCTGGGTCCCTCGCATCCCAAGTGGAACTTGTCACCATGCTCCTAGGCCTGCTCTCCCTGCAGGGTTCCCCCATTCTGGGAGTGGTACCCCATCTTCCTGATCACCAAGAGAGAAGCCAGGAAATGTCCTCAAGTGCCTCCCCTGCCTCCCTGATCCAGTCAGTCCCCAAGCCCCTCAGCCTAGTTGTGCAGCGCCTCCTCACCCCTCGGACGGTGACAGCAGCCTCCTCACTGCCTCCCCACCTCCACGTCATCACCTCCCTTCTCCCACCCACACGCGCACCACTGCAACCCGCCCAGACTCAGCTCTAAGCCCTGTCCCAGATCCTCCTTACTTGATGATTGAAGGAGGCTTTGCCTGGTTCCCAGCCTCAGGAGTTAAGTACCAGAAAGGTGTTTTGGAAGTTTCCTTTTGTTCTTTGGAGGAATTTGATGACATTCAACAAGTAGACATTGAGTGCCTTCTTGGTGCCAGATCTCATGATGGACCCTGTGCACCCAGAGGTGTCTCAGGACTGGGCCAATTCTGGAGTCCCAGCCCAGCGGGGCCGACAGACACACACAGCTGAGCTTCAAAGCCAGGCGGCCCTACGGCCAAATCCGGACCTCCACAGAGGCTGGTGGGACACAGAGCAGGAGAGGCGAATTCTGTCTGAAAACGGAGTTGGGCAGGGCTTCCTGGAGGAGGTGACCACAGAACTGGACCTTGAAGGATGAGTAGGGATTGGAAACGCAGGACAAGAGAGGATAAGAGGCTGTCAAAGTGTCCTGTGTGTGAGCACCGGCCGTATGTCGGCCGCAGAGCTGGGAGGGAGAGAAGGAGGAGGGCAGCGCAGAGGGGACCGGGCGTTAAGAGCCAGAGGGAAGTCCGCAGCAGCCGTCACAGGGGCCCAGGATGCCGGGAAACTGTCAGGGACAGGCCTGTCCTTGGGGCGCGATGGTGACACCCAGCCGGGGAACCTTTTCTCTCTGCAGGCTGAGGGCTCCGGCCTGGGCTGGGGCCTGGATGTCGGCTCTGGCTCTGGTGACCTGGTGCACAGTGAGGAGCTGCTGAGAGTGAGTGTGAAGCGCTCAAAGGCCTGGTGTCGGGTGGCGAGAGGAGGGGAGCCTCGCGAGGATCCGGGAGGGGGGACACAGGGACTGACAACAGTGAAACCAGCTTGACCTCTGCAGATGGCTGCGAGGCTGGCGGTGGGCTCCTGGGACTCGCTGTACTTCCCATCTGCGTTTACGTATGCTCGGCATTTCCATCTTTGGTCAGTTTTAAGTGAGTCTGACCTTAGTTTATCGTCAGGAGCCCCACTTTACACTTGCCTGCTTCCCCTGGCAGCCTGCTCCAGCAGCTCTTCCACAGCAGGTATGCCCATGACCTTCACCTCTGCCACCGGCTCTGCCCCCACCCCCTTACCCATTACAGAGACCTGCTGGCCTCTTCTCGACATGGCATTTCACACTTTGGCTTCCAGGCTCTTCTCAAAACCCTCCCTACCCCGGGGCAGCCCCCGCCTCTCTCTCCAGACCACTCTTTCTGCCTCGTTGGCAACTCGCTCCCCCAGCCTCTTGCCCAAGGCCGGGCCCCCACTGGTCCCTCTAGATTTCCCCCTGGGAGCACCTCTCCTCTCAGCTGAATCTCATGCATCTGTCCTCAGAGCCCCAGCCTCGTTCCATCCCTTCCTCTGAGCCCCTGTCAAGAATCCCCATCTAGAGGGCTCTGCTCAGCTGCCTTTCTGCCCACTCGTCATGACAGGGCTGGAAGTGTTCAGGACCTGCTGGATGAGTGGGACAGGACCCACTTAGAACATCCAAGCTGGTGGCATCAGCAAACCCAGCCCCAGGCTAAAAAGACTAGTACATTGCAGGGGTATTTTAATAAGGCTTAACAATAGGCCTTAACTCAGACAGTAAAGAATCTGCCTGCAATGCAGGAGACCTGGGTTCGGTTCCTGGGTCAGGAAGATCCCCTGGAGAAGGGAATGGCTACTAACTCCATTATTCTTGCCTGGGAAATCCCATAAATAGAGGAGCCTGGCAGGCTATATAGTCCATGGGGGTCACAAAGAATTGGATACAACTGAGTGACTAACCCTTTCACTTTCTAACAATAGGCAGTTTTGGACTAACCTCTCAGGTAATCAGAAAACTAAAGTAGAGCACCTCTGAGAATTCCAACAACTTGCTTCTTTGTTGTATAATACATCTGGGGAGAAAACATTAGCTAATGGGCTTAAAAAGACTTGGGTCTAAATCTCAGCTCTTCTCCTAATTAGCTGTGTGTGTGAGCTCTTAAGCAAGTCACGGCATCTCACTGAGCCTCACTTTCCCCATCTTCTAAGGAGCAACGCCAGTTTCTACCTTAAGGTCATTGTCAACAATGGAGTGAATGGAACATATTCATTTGTCCCCTCCTGCGCTGTTTTTTAACCAGGTGCCTTTTTTTAGGGTCCTCCAGGTCCCCCAGGCCCACCTGGCTTACCTGGGATCCCAGGAAAACCAGGAACTGATGTCTTCATGGGACCCCCTGGATCTCCTGGAGAAGATGGGCCCACCGGTGAACCTGGTCCCCCGGTGAGCTACTGAAGTCATCGCCCCCTCTCTGGACCCAGGGGCCTTCCTTTAGCCAGGGAGGGGGTACAGGCTGCAGACCCCAGTGCTAACGCTTATGGCTAGGAGTGAGCAGCTAGCTGGCATTTGTAAACAAAATCCTCCTCAGCCAAGACATTACTATTACTAAGACTCCAGATAAGAAGCAACAGCCAAGGAAAATATCATACTACATGTTGTTTCACTGCTTCATCTTAGTCTGTGTAGGAAATACAGGCTCATGTAAAACCCTGGAATCATAGTCCATCAGTGCTTGGCCTGGGGTGGGAGGCTCCAGAGACCATCTAGTCCAGCCCTGCCCCCGACTCCCCCCAGAAGAGAAAACACAGCCCAGACAGTGAAGGACACTCGTCTACGGTGCACAGCCAGCGGTGGCCAGGCTGTGGGCAGGACAGTCGTTCCGCTACAGGCTGACACGGGGCTTTAGACCTGCTGGCCTCACCCGCTGGGTCTTCTCGGCTCTGGCCTCCTTTTCCAAAGAGGGTCTGTAATTGATCCTTATCAGAGATACTGCAGGCTGATTGTCCTTGGTGTTTCTCAGGGCCCTGAGGGAAAGCCTGGACTTGATGGAGCCTCTGGTCTTCCTGGCATGAAAGGGGAGAAGGTACGCGGAGAGGGGGAGGGGCGCTGCCACAGCGGGAACCCCCAGGCCCATCCTGCCTGTCTGTCCTCTGAGGCTGACCTGGCCTCTGGTCCCCTCCTGGTCCTCCCGGCTGGATGTCTCTCCCCGGGGCTCTCTATGCCCAAACCTGCACTCAGCATCTTCTCTCGTCTACTCCTGCACGTTCCCAGCTTCCAGGAATGGCCCCGCCACCCGCCCAGTCACTAGACTCAGAAACGGAGTCCTCTCTGCTCCTCCCTCCTCTCCCTTTCCTGCCACCATCGGTCTGCGGCCAATCTTAAGTCCACATCTCTCACCTCTCTCTCTGCCCTGGCCTGACATTCATTCTTCCTTGGCTCCAGGGTGGCATCAGGCCCCCATTGATGCCCCTTCTCCCCACTCACAGTCCAGCCTCCACCCACCTGCCAGTCCATCTTCCGAGAGCAAGCTCTCATCACTCACTGTCTTCCCACTGAGAAAGCACCACTGGCTCCCTCATGCCTGCAAGATGGAACTTCACTGTGTGCAGATCTTCAAGTCCCTTCCTGACCTACCTTTTAGCTCCCTACCACCGCTCCCTCTCACACCCTCCTCCGGGCCAGCCAGCCCTCCTGAAAGGCCCCAGGCCTGCACAACCTCCTGGCCTCTGCCTCCAGGCCAGCCAGCCCTCCTGAAAGGCCCCAGGCCCGCACAACCTCCTGGCCTCTGCCTCCAGGCCAGCCAGCCCTCCTGAAAGGCCCCAGGCCCGCACAACCTCCTGGCCTCTGCCTCCAGGCCAGCCAGCCCTCCTGAAAGGCCCCAGGCCCGCACAACCTCCTGGCCTCTGCCTCCAGGCCAGCCAGCCCTCCTGAAAGGCCCCAGGCCCGCACAACCTCCTGGCCTCTGCCTCCAGGCCAGCCAGCCCTCCTGAAAGGCCCCAGGCCTGCACAACCTCCTGGCCTCTGCACGGGGCTTCCTCTCCTTTCTCTCTCCTCTTCCTCCTCGGCCCAGTTCAGATCTATCCTCTGGGAGGTTCTCCTGGACTGTTTATGAGTAGAAAGCACCCCTCCTTCCTCCACTTCCCTTTAGCTCAGTATTGCTTCTGCTGGGACCCCTCCAGCCAGGGACGCTGTAGCTGTTAGTTCACCAGTCTGCTCCCCAGCCCACTCTGACGGGCAGAGTAGAAGCGCCGTCTGTGTCTCCTTAGAGTCTAGCACAGGCTTCTGTGAGCAGCTTGACGACTCCTCCGTTTCCGAGTCTCACACGCCTTCATCCTCCTCCTCCTCCATAAACCCATGTGATCTTCTGTCTGCTAAGCCCGCTTGGTGCTGGGGGGTGGGGCTCCTGCCCGCGGTGTTCCTGGCCTGGTTGATGAGATAAGCTGTGTTCTGCAGAGGCAGACAATCAAGATAAGGTGAGCGTCCTTCTAGAGATGTGGTCCTGAGCTTCACTGGGGTTCAGAGGAGGGAGGGTTCATCCACACGGCTAGGGGAGTGGAGACCCACTGTGTACCCCACCTGGACAACGCTGTGGGAAATGCTGACTCCCTAGACACCCCCAGCGTCACTGAACTGAATTTCTGTTTTCAGTCAGCTCTCAAGTGTGTTTAATTGAAACAGTAACTCAATTTTCATGGAAAGCTCATTTCTCAGAAAAAGAAGAAACAATTGTCTCATTTTACAGAACTCATTTTACATGGACCAGCTCTTTCATAAGAAATTAAAATTTGCAGAAAACATTACAAGACTTACTCTCATCTTCCCTCCTCTTCCTACCAGCTCCCCTGCCCCTGCCCCACACCCCTTCCCCTCACACTTCTATCCCCTCCACACGCCTCGCTGTTCTGGTCTCAGACTGAAAAATGCCCAAGTTCACGCCCACATCCACCCACAAACACCCGTGCAGGCGCTCAGACACTCGGTCATGCACAGAAGCGGCAGGCTTGCCCAGAATAATTGTGGCAGATAAATCACTTTTTTCTTCCTGGAACTTGCTATGAGATCTAATTTGTTGCCCCAATTTGTGTGTCTGTGATGGTTTCTGGTCAAGGAAAAGCAGACTCTAGAAACACCTGGAAATTTGCTTCAGGAGAGCTGAAGGGAAACCTTGTACATGACACTTTACCTCCCACCCCGTCCCCACCCCGCCGCGAAGTAAACCAAGGAGAATAGTCTGATGGTGAAATAACAACAAAAACACGCTGAAGAAAGTGAATAATCTCAGGGATGTTACACCACATAAAATCCAGTGATGCATGTGATCCTTGACTCTCCTCCAATCTCTGCTTCAGTTTGCATGCCTCCAGTGCCAGAGGACTCATTTCCTGCCCAGGCGGTGCCTTCCACGGCTAGGTGGACACTTGTAGGGAGGTCGTTCCTCACTGTCACCAGGACATCAGCCTCTCCTCACCTGCAGGACACACGGACCAGTCTAGATAGTTGAAAACCTCAAAGAATAAGATTTGGTTTACTTGGCTGAAAATAATATTGTTATAGGTAATCATTTTCAAATGTGAGATTGTCATCAAAATGTGGATGTCATTAAGAATTCATCAAATAGATTATTCTGTGTTGAGTTTGATCATAGGAATATTCCATAATTTATTTTCCCCAAATTAAGATGAGCAGCCACTCTGAGATCTTTAGCCCATGAAGGAATGGGCAGGGGATGGCTTGCTTTCTCATCCATCGGATGGTTCTGGAAAGGCTGCTGAAAAAGTGGAAATGCTGGAAATGGCTCTCTGAAAAATTTCTTTCTGCTTTTGCACTGTAGATTCTGCTGTCTTCAGCATGGACCTAGGACTAATGGTTGTCATTCTTTTCCTTCTTTCATAATCTGACTAATACATGTTATTCTTCAGTCTCAAAAGGCACTGGGATGCCCAGGCAGAATAGAGTTAATGTTTTGAAATATTCTTCAGTGCCCAGAATTGCTGAGGACTGTTAAGCTCCCAGTAACTGGCTGTGAGGGATCTCACGGAGCTCCTGAAATGTCATCGCTGGGCACTGTAAAACCAGCTTTTGCATGAGATGTGTGAGGAATGCAAGTAAATGACAATCGCCTTCCCTTTCTCCAACCAGTCCTAAACTGGCTTTGATCAGTTCTCTAAATGTTGTGTAGTGAGGAACAGTGTACCCCTTCCCAAGAACCTGAGTGGTGGTGAGCTGAGTGGCTCTTAAGTAGAATCTAGTAATGGGTTTAGAGCTTATAACAGCTTGTTTCAATTAAACGCTATGATATTGGCTGGATTTCCTATTTATATCTTCTTTAATCATCAAATGTATTTGGTACAAAATCTGAATTGTACATGAGTTTGAGTGAACTCCGGGGGTTGGTGATGGACAGGGAGCCTAGTGTGCTGCAATTCATGGGGTCGCCAAGAGTCGGACACGACTGAGTGACTGAACTGAACTAAACTGAACTGAATTGTAGGCCTCCATGAAACCATATAGAGCATAGCTGATTTTAATTGTGACAAATTGAAGTTATCAGTGTAACACAAAACCCGCAGACATTGACAAGGCAGTAAGTAAGAAACCACAACTGCAAAGGTCTTTGATGTTGTATGATGAAGTCTAACATTGTCCTTAGAAAACCCAGCTGCCATAATGAGCCAGAATTTTTAAAAATGTTTATTTGTTTGGCTGTGCCAGGCGTGTGGAATCTTCAGTTAGTTATGGCACGCAGGATCTTTTAGTTGTGGCATTCAAACCCTTAGTTGCAGCACATGGGATCTAGTTCCCTGACCAGGGATTGAACCTCGGCTGCCTGCTTTGGCACCATGGAGTCTTAGCCACTGGACCACTAGGGAAGTCCCCAGAATTTCTCATAAATTCTAAACCATCATTTTGCAACATGCTGCACGCCCACACCTGGTTCTTTCACAGTATTTCTGCTGTAGAACTGGTCTCTCCATACACCATCATCATATTCAGACTCGCAACTCTGCTGGTTGGAATTCCAAGACAGCACATAGCCTCACCACACAGTTCTGTCCCCAAGGAGTGAAGTATAGGTCTGCCTTCACCATTCTAGCTATGGGGTCTTTGCTGATCCTCTGAATTGGAGCTACCACTTTGACTCTGCCTATTCATGTACGTTACAATAAGATAAGCTCTTCCATCCCCAAACTGATCTACTCATGTTCCAAAATGGTGGTCACCAAATGTGTGAGCCAGTGAAATGAGTCCAGATACTATCGCTTCATACCTACAAGCTGGATAAAATCATCTGTTTCTGAGACAGATAAATCAAGGTCTAACATATCTTCTGGAACTTCCTTTGAAACTGCTACAAGATGTACTCTTGATTTGAAAAGTCAGAAAGAGAATTGAAAAAGTACAGTTTTTCACCTTATGAGCATCCTTTTCTTGAATGGAGTCAACAGTAATAATGTTTTCAGAGGACAGAGTCCAAAAATCAAGAGACTGGGCTAAGTTAACTTCTATTTCACAATATCCCTGACCGAGATTTGACTTATTACTGGGAAAATGCATAAGAATGGTACTTCCTTCAAGGACAGATTGCATCGGATAGCAGGCGATGGTGGCTGGTCACACCCAAGAAAAACAAGACGCATGAACTGTACCCTGCAGCTTGGGCAGCAGAACCCAGTTCTTTCTGTTTCTGCTCTGGATGTAAGGCCACGCTTAGTTTTTCCCACGTCAGGTCGGCAGGCAGGGAAGCAGCAGGACCCCAGTTAACCTCTGCTTCCTTCTGTAAGCCCACCTCTCCTCCCGCCACCCCATAGAGAAGCCGGGTTCACTCTGAAGTTCTCTCTTTAAGTATGTCCTGGTATTCAACCTTTGTATAGAGTATTTCCTCTCAGCAGTTACATACCTTTGTCTCTAAGATCTCGAGCTCATTTTTTTCTGTAACCACTGTTCTTATTTCATAATAGTTTGTCCTTGTTTCTTGGCTGCGATCATATCCTCCATTTTCTATATAGTGTAGTTCCCGTTGGTCCGTGTTAGCTGTTTCCTCAGGAGGCTTTGCGTGGTTGGTGCTTTTCTCTTTCAGAGGGTTTTCTTTTGCTCAGATGTGTAGGGTTTCTTGCTGGTGTGTTGATGCTCTAGAAATTGGAATCCCTCTGTAATCTGTTTTCTGCCTCTGTTTATACACAGACCTGTCGAGTCGGGTGGTCGCTACTTCTGCAGGTTTTAGGACAGGAGGATTGGGATGTGCCTCAGCAGCTGAGCTTAGGCGTGTGGAGTATCCTTGGACCTCCCAGAGTCTGGAAGCCTCCTGGGGCTCTGCCACATCCCTTTGCTTCACCGAACAACTCTTACTGTTCTTGTAGTGAAATGGAAGGTGAGGGGAGAGGGGCAGGGCTCCGTGGCTATCCAGCTCCGGAATGTCAGCTTCTCTCTATCAGACCCAGAGTCTGCTCTTGGCTTCCACTCCTCCCCTACCTGACATTTTTCTGCCTGTGGTTTGTCTCCGTGGCTGAAGCCTCAGCTTCCCATGTTTTCTCGTCGGCATTCCTCTCGGGTTCAGGCTCAGTGTCGCTCCCCGTCTTATTTTTGAGCAGGAGTGTTTGGAGCTGTCCACGCGTCACTTCTGTGGGTTTGACATAGGGGGTGGGGGGCTTGGCAGAAGGCGCAGCCTTGGACTGTGGCCTTGTCGTGGTGTCGAGAGCCTTCTGTGTGGCCACGTGGCTTCTGGCTTCTTCCCTCGAGGGTGCTTGGGCGGTCTCCTTGCAGGTTCTCCAGCTGGGGGCCCCGACTGCAGTCCTCTGGTGTGGGGCAGTGTATCCTGTGGCTGACCACTGCTGAACGTCAGCTCCTGTTGGTCCTCCCCTCTGCTTGGAGCTCACAGCTGGCTCTTTACCTTGGGGTCCGCATCTAACCCCCTAGAAAACCTCTACCGTGGCCCCCACTGGCGGTGGCCACATAGGCTGTTTTAGAGACCCTCCCCGTCAATTCTGGGGCGATTCCAGCCAGCTTTCGGTCTTTAGATTTTTCCAGAAGAGAGTCAGCCATTATATACATATCTCCAAAAGCCTAGGGAATACACATCAAATTCTTGAAGCCCCTTTTCTTGGCTTCAAGGAGGAGAGGCACCCCTTCCCTTCCATCCTGGGGAGGTGGGGAGAGGGCCCACTCAGTACACGGACAGATCTCCAGGGAAATCCTTCCTTGACAGTCTTTCCCTGGTTCATCTTCATCTTCTGCTTTTCGGTAGGTAATGAAAACTTCTGCTTGAGGTAGGTAATGAACTAATGGTTGAAAAATGGGTTTCACAAGCTTTCAGCATGACCTGCCTAGCAAACTCACAATTACTGTAATGGGCTCAGGTTTGAGACATAAGTCAAAACTGCACAGGAAGAGTCCCATTTTAATGTCCTGTTACTTAAGTGTCTGTAATCCTGCATTTTCTTCTAAACGTACCTAATGGAAGATATGCTATTATACTATGTATAATTGGCCATCATTTTTTTTCAGGGAGCTAGAGGACCTAATGGCTCAGTTGGTGAAAAGGTAAAAATGAAAAAGAAAAAATTTCTCCTCCTTCTTCCTGTCTCTCTGGGTTTAGTATCATTGAACTGTTGGGCTGAAGTACTAAAGATGTAAATGCCATGGATCAGAGAAAAACATCGGGACGGAACTGCTTGGGGAAGGCAGAACAGCTGGAGCTGGAGGAGAGTGAGTGACCTGCAGGTTTTATCCTGTCACTCCCTCCACCCAAATGCATTCAACGGGCGCCATCAGCTTATCTCCAAGGAAAATGTCAATTGGCAAGACAGCTGTTTCTGTACCGTTAAGCAGCACCAGTCACAGAATCCATCCATCTAACGAAGTTCAAAGAACAATTTTCTGACTCAGGTGTGAATGTTGTTCCCTCCATGAATGAACCCAAGACTAGATACTCAGCCTGTTCCCTTCCTCACAGGGTGATCCCGGCAACAGAGGCTTACCAGGACCCCCAGGGAAAAATGGACAAGTTGGCGCTCCTGGGGTCATGGGACCCCCAGGGCCTCCCGGACCCCCTGGGCCCCCAGGCCCTGGATGTACAACAGGACTTGGATTTGAGGTATTTCCCTTCATCCCTGTGGTTAAAGAGCAGCGTGTATTAAGGATGACTGGAAGGGCCAGCTAACGACGCCATGGCGCTGCTGGCTCCCCGGAGCCCCAGCTCCCAGCACCATGCCTGGCCCAGGGAGGGGTCTGGGAGTCAGATCTGAAATTCTTCTTCTTTTTCCTTCCCTAGGATACCGAGGGCTCAGGCAGCATCAGGCACTTACATGAGTCCCTCTCTGGGCCGACGGCTTCAAGTGTAGGTTGACTTTTGAAACCGTCACTTTGCGGATTGTCATGCTATCACGCTGGCGTGGGGAAGCTGTGGGGTGCCAGCCTGCTCTGTGACTTGCAATAATTTACACTCTCTGAGCCTCCAGCTTCCAGCTGTGTGGTGGGGGGACCAGGTGCTGGTTATAGCTTGTTTCTTTGAGGAACAGCATAGAGGTTTTCACAAGATATAATATGGGAAAACTTGAAAATCATCTTTCTCTCTTTCTCCCCAGTCCCTAACCATCAAGCATCTCAGCCTCATTGCCTCCTTTCTGCTGCCCTTTCAAGACTCACACTTCGCCCCATTTCAGAATCCCATGCTCCTAACAGATGCCCCTGCCCGCTACATCTTCCCCCAGGGAGGTGTGGTCCATCCTCTGCTATGATGCTTCTCTCAAGAAGACCAGTCCCCAGGATCTCATTATGTTTGTCAAGTGGTACCCAGAGCTGGGCACACCAGTACAGTGGGAGCTGAGCATCATAGAGGAGAGCATTGCTGCCCCCTCCATGATTGAATAGGAAGACCTCCCCCACCCTCAGATGCAGAGGGCTCTGAGGGTCACGGTCAGAGGACACTCGGCCAGTGCTGGGAGGGGACCTCTGCTCCTCCTGCTGTCTGAGATGTTCCTTCCTTCTGACCCCGTAACGGAAATTTGCTCTTCATCTTTTGCTCCCATTATCAAGGATAAAATCCTTGTGAGAGCTTAGGGAGAGATGGTAAGATGGAAGGATAGATGGAAAATGGGCCAAGTGAATAGAAAAAAAATTCAAAGAATATTTGTTTGTTTGTTTTGCCAGGGTCCCAAAGGAGAAAAAGGAGACCGGGGACCTAAGGTGAGGTCATCGATCCGGAGTAGGGGTGAGAGAAGTGCTCATCCCGGTCTGGGAGCATTATCCACATACAGTGAACTTTTTCCCACCCTCACTGCTGTATCCAGGGTGACAGAGGGATGGACGGAGCCAGCATTGTGGGCCCCCCCGGGCCCAGGGGGCCACCGGGGCGCCTCGAGGTCCTGTCTAGTGTGAGTATCCCCAGGTCAGAGCACGGCTGGTGTTTCCCCTTTGCTGAAGGGGAGGGAGGCTTGTCCACAACTTGAGCGCCTTCAGGGCGGCTAGTTCTGCGGGGGGCGTGCAGCTGGCCTCTGGTGTTGGAGTTGCTACCTGCCGGCGTGGGCCGTCCAGCTGTGCCCACTATGGCGCCTCTATTGTCCCCCGTAGTGTGTCCCCAACACTCTTCTGGTTGGCAGCATTTGCAGTCAGAAAAATAAGTATAACAGAGCTGTAACCGACAGGCAAGGAACGTAAGTGGGGAGGCCAGGGAGGAACGATGGTTTGCGATATGAGAAATCAAGACAGACTTTCTGGAAGCAGTCTCTTTGAAGAGGGACTTGAAAGCTAAGCAGGATTTACCAGTAGGCGTGGAAGACAGGACTTCCAGGACTCAGGGGGTCGGGACTCTCAGAGCTGAAGCACAGAATAGAAAAACATGGGTGTATCCAAGGCCCAGGGAGCTGACGGGCGTGAGGTTGTGTGGAAATTGATGGAAGTCTGTAGAGAAGAGTAGGATGTGGGCTGGGACCTGATTGCAGCACACCGGACATGAGAACATCACATTTGTGAAAAATCGTGGCCCTAAGGAGAGAAATGATGTCCTACTGGTAGATGACAGAAAGACATAAAGTCCCAAATAACTGAAAAAAAGCAATGACTAGAGATTTTTAAGTATAATTCAAAAATATCAATTGTAGATAAGGATGTGGTGAAATAGAAAAATCTCTTTGTTGGAAGTATAAATTGTATAGTTCCTTTAAACTGCTCTTTGATGACCTGCTAATATGTTCATACTGAAAATTTCCACATGGAAAGACCTCCGTGTCATATGATTGAGTTAAAAAAAAGCAAGCTGAAGAATAATACATACAGCCTGGTACCATTTATATAAAATAACCACTTAGACATATATATATAAAACACACACACACACCCCAACAACACTACTTTCTGTGGGTGTTAATATTATTATTAATTTATAATTATATATTAATAACATAAATATAATATTAATTGTTTCAGTCACTCATTTTCGTGTCCAACTCTTTGAGACCCCATGGACTGCAGCATGCCAGGCTTCCCCGTCCTTCACTATCTCCTTCACCATGTATATATTGTAAATTATAAAAATTTATAAAATTTTAATATTTAAAATTATACAAGAAGGAAGACATTCATGTACTGTGCAGTTTGAAGATCAATCAGAAGAGAACAGTGACCACGTGACTCAGGGCCACCTTAAGAAGCGGTGGAGTGTGTGTGTCGGCGGTGGGCGGGTGCTGTCACTGCCTGCTGCATCTGCCATGTGCAGGGTGGCTTCGGTTCAAGCCTCACTGCCGGGAACAAGGTGGGGTATGTGCCACCCTCTGTCTCTTTGTCTGGTTTTTCTCTTTTCAGTCTTTGACCAACATCACCCAAGGATTCATGAATCTCTCGGACATTCCTGAGCTCGTCGGGCCTCCGGTGTGTATCCACAGCTGCCCTGGAATGAGCTTCTACCCAGATGCCCCAGTTGAACCTAAGTTGGGTGGGTTTGGAATCTTTGGGCTCCTGAAGCGCAGAGCGCACGTGTCTCAGAGTGGATTGGAAAGAGAGCTTTGTGTCTCTGAGAAGTTGCTGCAGCATTAATTTGATTGTGCTGGGAGTTTTGTCCAATGCGGTGGAAGCTTCCAGTCCCTTGCATCAGAAATGTGTGTAATGGAAATCAGAGAATCAGAAGTAACAAGCTAATTGACGTCTGAGCAATGCTTTGGGCCTGCTTTTGTTTACATGGTCTCATTTCCCAGAAGGGGAGACGCCTACTGCTAACGGGGAAACTGGCAGATGAGGAGGGAAAGGGAATGTGCCTGGCTTCAGTCTTCCTGGCCCCACTTAGAGATCAGGAACACACGAAGAAGCTCCCTCATTTCTTCAAGTCCACAGGGTCGGTTTGTGTCTCACCGGGACCTCAGAGGAAGGAAGCTTCCTCCTGCAGCCCGTGTGGTGGATTCCCATTGCATCTTCCACATCTGCTGGTGACAGCTGGGGCGAGAGGAAGAGCCCTGTCCTGGAAAGCTTTGGGCTCCCCGTCCCCGGTGGGGTTGGCCTGAGCCCCTGCCATCCACATCCCGGGGAAAACTCAGCCCTCTCCCCAAGGCTCCTGCAGTGTGTATCCTGAAACTAAATATCTGAGAGATTCCTTTCGAGCCAGTGTCTCCCGCCGTGAGCCTCTGTTCATGGGTCATTCCACTCTCTTCCCCACATCTAAGGGGCTCCCTTTCCTTGATTTCTGCTAGAATCACCCGAAACACCCCAATAAGCAAGCCCTAAAGCAAAGAAGCAAAAGTCGTTTCACAAAGTTTTCTTCTAATTATTGGAAGCTTAGAGCATTAGGTGGCTTAATTCTAAAGCAAAACGCAGCCTAAGATCTAAGAACCGGCATCTCTTTTCTGAGTCCTTGGGCCTTGTCTGCCCGCACCCCAGGACTCTCCTTTCTGTCTCAATCCCTGTCCTTCTCTTTGGCAAGTCCAGGTCCTCAAGGGTATCTCTAAGGGAGGATCCAGGTTTTCCTGTTCAGATAATTCCCTCCCAGTTGCACCTTTATGCTTTTCCACTCCACTATATCTATCCCTGGGTTGGGAAGATCCCCTGGAGAAGGGAATGGCTACCCACTCCAGTATTCTGGCCTGGAGAATTCCATGGACTGTACAGTCCATGGGGTCACAAAAAGTCTGACATGACTGAGCGACTTTCACTTTCATCACTTTTCGTATGTACACTATATATATATTAGTATATAGTCCTCTGTACCTGTTGCTTCTGCATCTACATATTCAACCAACCTTGGATTAAAAAAAAAGACTGAAAAATATCCAAAAGTTTTAAAAAGCAAAACTTGACTTTGCTGCATGCTGGCAACTATTTATATAGCTTTTACATTGTATTAGGTATTATAAGTAATCTAGAGATGATTTAAAGTATATGGAGTATGTATATTGGTTATATGCTGACCATTTTATGTAAGGGGCTTGAGCATCTGAGGATTTTGGTATCCACAGGGGATCCTGACACCCATACCCCACAGATACCCAGGGATGACTGTACATTGGGGAAGTTGTCGTTCAGTTATATCTCTGTATGTATATTCTGCCAAACTCTATGCCTTTAATAGGTGTGTGGGTAGCTGGGCTTGGAGGAAAACGTGTCCTGGCACCATGTGGAGTGAACCACAAATTTTCTGTTTCCTGGAGCCTTTAAAGCGGCTGGCCATTTAAAATTCTGCCTCTCACTGAGGGAAGAGAACTTAGTCTCACCAACTGCCCCCACTTCTAACCCCAAATACCCCAGCACACCCTTGGGGCCCACTCCTCAGAGTTTGGGAAGTTCCGAGGATATTTGTGAAGGTGAAGCGCTGCGCTCATTGCCCCAGGGATTTCTGAGGTCCAGACGGAGGGGGAGTGGTTGGGGGTGGGGGAGGCTGGGACCTGCGGAGCCGAGTCCTGACGGGGCTGCAGATGCTCCAGGCTTCTGGGCATTTCCTGGCTCTGTGCTAACTAGCTGGGTGACTGCACGGTCCCTCTCCCCGTGGGATGGATCACGAGTCCCACTGGGTGGGGACATGCGTGGGCCTTTGGGAGGTGCCAGAGGCAGTGAGCCCTTGGGTGCAGGTTCCTGCTGGCCTGGAAGTGCTGCTGCTGAGCTGCCTCTTTGTCTTTCTGTGTTACAGGGCCCCGAGGGCATGCCTGGGCTGCCAGGATTCCCGGTGAGTACCACGCTAGCCATCCTCCTCTGTGCCCTGTGGCTGTGCACATTCTGTTCCTCCCACCTGGAGTGCTGTTCCTCTCCATCTGCACGGCTGAGCCCTAGTAGTTCTTGCTCATATAGCCTTTTCTGCTTGCCCCACCCAGAGGGATCGTTCCCACCTTTGAGTCTAAAAGGGCTTTATTTTCACCTCTTTTCTGCCTTCAGTAACAGTTATGTATGCCCCTATTCTTTTTTCCTCAACTATACCACAATCAGCTTGCAGAGGATCGGGTCTTGTTCATCTCTTTCTAGCCTAGGGCCAGCCAGAGCCAGAACTGGATCCCACGGTTGGCTTCCTATAAATGAGAGTAGATGAATCAGTCATTTCAGGTAGCTAGAGTCAGAGTGGCAAATAGATGGGGAAACAGTGGAAACAGTGGCTGACTTTATTTTTCTGGGGTCCAAAATCACTGCAGATGGTGACTGCAGCCAAGAAATTAAAAGACTCTCACTCCTTGGAAGGAAAGTTATGACCAACCTAGACAGCATATTAAAAAGCAGAGACATTACCTTGTCAACAAAGGTCCATCTAGTCAAGGCTATGGTTTTCCCAGTAGTCACTTATGGATGTGAGAGTTGGACTGTAAAGAAAGCTGAGCACCGAAGAATTGACGCTTTTGAACTGTGGTGTTGGAGAAGACTCTTGAGAGTTCCTTGGACTGCAAGGAGATCCCAGCCAGTCCATCCTAAAGGAGATCAGTCCTGGGTGTTCATTGGAAGGACTGATGCTGAAGCTGAAACTCCAATACTTTGGGCACCTCATGTGAAGAGCTGACTCATTGACTCATCCCTCCTGATGCTGGGAGGGATTTGGGGCAGGAGTAGAAGGGGACAACAGAGGATGAGATGGATGGATGGCATCACCAACTCGATGGACATGGGTTTGGGTGGACTCCGGGAGTTGGTGATGGACAGGGAGGCCTGGCGTGCTGCAGTTCATGGGGTCGCAAAGAGCCGGACACGACTGAGTGACTGAACTGAACTGAACTGAGTCAGAGTAGATAAAATTCCTAGAGAGAGAGGATGGTGGTGATGGGAACCGAAAGGGGGAATCAGAGCCTGGAAGCCCAGTAATTAGTAGTCTGTGTGCACCATGCTATGGGGCTTCCACCATGGAAGGTGAAAGTGCGTTTCTGTGTAGGAAGTGATCGGTTGAGTCTAAATGTCTGCGCCTGCTCTGAAGCCCAAGGCTCCAGAGTGAGACCTGCACCAGAGTGAAATCTCTGCACAGTACAGTCCTGAAAAGGCCTCAATGCCACTGGTGACATGTGTGCTGCTCCCAGGATAGATGAGGGAAATTTATCAAAAAATGTAATAGAAATTTGTCATTGATGGTAGAATTATAGGTGGTTTCTTTTCTACTTTTTTATATTTTCTGAGGTCTTCTATTTTTTAAAGGGGCATATGGTATGCTGACACCAAAAATACAGGAGAACTTGGCATTAAAACACAGGAGAGAGTGGCAGCCACAGGGAAGGGCTCTTAGTCAGGAAGAGGGAGCGAGACCTCCGAGCTCCAAGCCCAGCTTGGCTTCTCCAAAACCAGAGTGTGTTCCAGACGCACTTGCCTCTGAATGCCTGGTTCTGTGTTCCCGAGGGAGCCTTGGGCTTCTCAGAGGAGGCTTTGGGGCCACTTGAAGAGTAAGGAGGGGCCAAATAAGCAGGGTCCGGGGCACTGACAAGGCTCCATTGATGTATTTTGTATATTGGGCTTTTGTTTAAGACTTTACTTGAAAAAAGGAATGAAAAGAGTTTCACTGCTAAAAAATAATAACAAATATTTGAGGGCCACTGCATTAATCCAGAAGAAAGGGACTTGTGAAAAGCTAAACTACACTAAATTTCAACACTAAAAAGTGTTGACACCCTTTTGTGGGGCAGACGTCTGGCTGTGTTGAGTCACTGTCACAGACCTTGAGTGTCTGTTGGAGTTGAGACGAGGTCACCCCTGACCGGGTGTGCGGAATTGGTTCTGCAGGGGGAATGGTGGAGGCAGCGGTGGGCGTTGGTGTGGGTGCAGAGAGTCTAAGGGGACAGGCTCACCCCTGCTGGAGTGACGGGAGCAGAGGATGAAGTGCCACGACCAGGTGGGATCTCTTTGAGCGTCAGACTGGGGTGTCTGGATCCCATTCCTTAGGGAGTGGGGGAAGTGGGCTGCAGGACGGCCCCTAGGGCCCATGGGTGAGCAGAGGCAACAGGCAAGGCTGTTTTAGTGATGCCCGTTGGAGGCAACCATAGTTCAAAGAGAAATGGGGCCTCTAGGGCTCCTAACACTCTATGCTGTCTTCCTCCCCCAGACCACTTAAAATGAGGAAAAACCTCATAACTGTGACTTCCACTGGCACTCTGTTCTTTTCCTTTTTGGGGAAAAAGAAAGAAACCTTCGTTTTTAATTTTAACAAACAACCAAATACTCTCCAATAACTCTTCTAGGGCCCGAGAGGTCCAAAAGGTGACACTGGCGTCCCTGGATTTCCAGGACTAAAAGGAGAACAGGTAAGAAGGGTCAGGTATCTGGGTGGGAGAATTTGCTAAATATTTCAAATGGGTTGAAAGTAGCTGTTCACTTTTTTAAAGTTTGAGATATAACTCACATACCATCAAATGCAGCCCTTTCAATTGTGAAATTCGGTGATTTTTAGTATAGTTGCAAGGTATGCAGCCACCACCACTACCTAATTATAGAACATTTTCATCATGTTGCAAGAAGCACTGTGTCTTGTGGCAGTCACTCCCCAGCTGTTCAGGTTCATGATGTCAAGGTTCCTCCAGGGTGCAGGTGCGGTGCATGGAGAAATAGATTCTTATCGTAGTTGCAAGGAGAACTCAGCCAACACTCCCCTGAATGCTCTTCCCACGAGTTCTGTGCTCGGTCCAATTGCCTCCGCCAGGCTCTCCTGTTAGAATGTGCACTCCCTGAGGGCAGGCACATCCACTTCCCTTTCTGTGGCTCCAGTGCATAGCACTGTGCCTGATATATGAATGGTACTCAAAATATTTACTGGGCGAAAGGATGTATGAGTAATGAGTGCAAGAAATTCTTATTATGCTATTAAGTCTTTATGATTATCATAAGCTGGGGCATTCTGCAGTTGGTTAGCAGTCTTGGTCCAGAAGTTTTGAAATAAATATTTAGCATGCAGAGCACTTCCTGAGATTCCTCGGACCTTGAAAATGACCTTTGTACCCGTCCACAGTTGCCTCTTAGAACTGGTTTCCCAGTTGGTTTTTATAGGTAAGGGGAGAGTAACATTTTCATAAACAGACTGCAGTGACTCTGCGTTGGATTCATTTGTTCATCCATCCATTTATATACTCATCCTGCTTGCATCCATTCCCTTTGATGCACCAGCCATGTTTCTATGCTAGGCGCTAGGAACAGTGAGGTAAGATGTGAGGAGCAGACGTGCAGAGAGCCGCAGGGACTGGTTATCGCCGTGAGGGGGGTCTGCACAAAGCCGGCAGGAGCGGTCCTGAGCTGGGGTGTCAGGGAAGGTGGGTGCGTCTCTAAGAGAAAGGACCATTAGCTACTCTTTTTCCTTCCTTCCCGAACCGTTTCACACTAGCCCCAAGGAAGCGGAGAGTCTCTAGCGTCTCTGGACCACAGACCAGGGGGCAGAGGGCTTTGTGTGCTGGCTCTGAGTTTAACGCTATGTGAGACCTTGTCTTGGGGTGCCTTTTGCTGCCTCGGGTCTGCAGAGAGCGTTTGGGGCCAGGGCAGCTCTGGCTTGCCAGGAAGCCTGTCAAATCAGATCAGCTCTTGCTGTAAACATTCTGTTTTCCATGTGGCAAGGTCAGGTGGATCTAGAAGGACCTACTTGCTATCCCTGCCCCAATCCCCTGCCACCTTGAAAAGTGGGAAGAGCACCCAGACAACTCTGCTCTGACCCCTGCGGCAAATGCACTTTCCCTGGCTTTACCTCTAATGCTTTTGTGCTTGCTTCTTCTTGCTGCTGGCGTGCTCAGGACCGCTTTTCCTCACCAGTTGAGTGGTAAGATCCTAATGTCAGGTGTGGGCGTGGGGGCCAGAGAGAAGAGGCTGCTGGGATTGCTTTGGCGCCACTGCCCTGGCTGCTTCCAGCCCTGTTGAAGGGAGACTTTCGTGTGGTCCAGTCCAGCTCTTCAGGGGCCAGCATTGAAGTTTGGAGCCAGAGCCTTGAGTGGCTCCTCTCCCTGGCCTTTTCTCTGGACATACATCTTCTTGGAAGCCTCCTGGGATGGTAGGTAGCCCTGCAGAGTGCAGGATTGGGGGCAGGATTCTGTGTCCTTGCTACCAGTTTCCCCATCTCCCCTATGTCCCAGCAACTGAGATAACTTTGCCTGATCAGGTGAGTGTTTGTACAGGAGCCTGGAGCTTGGAGGCAAAATTCCACATAGAGACTCAGGACCCCTGTGTCGAGAGAGGCCTCCACTGATCATGCTCTCACGGCTTTCCCAATTTTAGATATTTTAACAAGAATAAGGATTTTAGGGGAGAACAGATCTCAAGTTGAGCTGTTAGAAACACAAGCCACCAAATAGATTAATGTTAGGAGCCAGAGGTTCTCAGCGGGGAGCATACAGCCAGAGGTGGGGTGGACCTAGTGGATTAAGGTTCCTGGAGGATTAAGGTGGGGATGCTGAGCAGGCAGCAGCAGGAGACCTGGAGGGGCTTGCAGGACCCCAGCCTGTGCTTTCAGACAGTAATGAAGAACATGGAGGCAACAGAGTAGACAGTATTGAACCACTTGGGAGGCTGTGCAATATCGCAGCAAGAGGTCATGTCGGGGCAGGGGGGTTGGAGAGGCAGTTTGAAAGCCAAAGAAATCATGGCGGCGAGCTTCTGGATAAGGTGGCGAGGCGAGGCCCAGCTTCATCGAACGGTTCTCTGGATTGCAGGGTGAGAAGGGAGAGCCGGGTGCCATCCTGACGGGGGATGTTCCTCTGGAAAGGCTGAGGGGCCAAAAGGTAACTATTCCACCAGACCCTGAAAGAACGTGTCTGCTTAAGATCCCATCTTTGTTTCTGCTGCTGACTATGTTCTTCTGAGTGACAAGTCTTTGTCTCCCTGTTTTAGGGTGAACCCGGAGAGCACGGAGCCCCGGGACCAATGGTAAGCTGGAGCATGTTGCCCCTAAACTGGGGTTTGAAGCATTTATCGTATTTTGGCTCAACTAGATTGAGTTGTGAAAATAAAAATGATATGGCAATGTGTGTGTGTATCAATGTATCAGTGTATCAAGGGTAGGCTGACTGCGATTAAATAAAATTTCAATGGTTTAGCATAGTCATGGCTTAGTTCTGACTTTTACAAAATCCACGGTGGTGGTTGCCAGTTGGGCATCTCCCCTCCAAGCAGTGACTCGGGAGCCCATGATGCTTGGGTCCTGTGACTTCACTGTCTGGTGGATTCAGGTTCACACTGGCATCTTCCAGCTGGCAGGCCTCGCTTGGGGAAGGGCAGACCATGGAAGATGATGAGCTCCACCTCTGGCCTCCACTGATGCAGAAGGCAGTGGGGTGGGTGGTGGGGGACCTTGGTCTAGCTGTGTGTCCAGAAGGAAGCAGGGAAGCAGATGGTGGTGAGCCCCACAGCTGTACCATGGGTCTTGCCAGCTACAGATTACCATTGCCCAAGCAACCTGGGCCTTTTGGCTTCTGGTCTTAGATCTGCTGCTCATTTGCTGTGTGACCTCAGACAAGTCCTCTTCTCTCTCTGGGCTTCTGTGTCCCCATCTGTGAGTGAATACCAAATGACATGATTGGGCCTTTCTTGCTTAACTACTCCAGGAACCTATAACTCATTCAGGCTTCTGAGCAGTCTTAAACTACCAGTTCTCTCCAGATGAACCCTAAACTTTCCTGTCATATATTTCTCCTCAAAGAACAAAGAAAACTCATGCAACATCCACTATGGGTTGGACAGTGATGCTTCAACACAGATCATCTCATTTAATTTTCACCACCCTGAGCAGTGAATGTCAGAATGCCCATTTTATAGGCCAGGAAACTGAGGTCAAAGAAGTTAAGTAACTTGCCCACTGCTACACAGCTTGTTAATAACAAGTGGGGATTTGAACCGAACTTGTCAGAGTCTGTGTCCTGGTTTTTCCCAGCACATCTCACTGCCTCCAGTGAACGCCTTCATTCTTCTGAAACATTTGGGGCTGGGGAATTGCACACTGGGATTTGAATGTGGGATTTGTTTGAAGCTGGATCTCTGGACTGGGGAGAAAGGACCTCACATTGCTCTAACAGGCACATGTCCTTGATGAATGGTGTGTAACCTCCAAGGTGCATCCTTCAGATGACTTTCTAAGGCCTTTGGTCCCTTTAGTTCAGTTGCTCTGTCGTGTCCGACTCTTTGACACCCCACGGACTGCAGCACACCAGGCCTCCTTGTCCATCTCCAACTCCCGAAGCTTGTGCAAACTCATGTCCATCAAATCAGTGATGCCATCCAACCATCTCATCTTCTGTCGTCCTCTTCTCCTCCTGCCTTCAATCTTTCCCAGCATCAGGGTCTTTTCCAGTGAGTCAGTTCTTTGCATCAGGAATTTTAGCATCAGTCCTTCCAGTGAATATTCAGGACTAATTTTCTTTAGGATGGACTGGTTAGATCTCCTTGCAGTCCAAGAGACTCTCAAGAGTCTTCTCCAACACCACAGTTGAAAAGCATCAGTTCTTCGGCATTCAGCTTTCTTTATAGTCCAACTCACATCCATACATGACTACTGGAAAAACCATAGCTTTGACTAGACAGGCTTCTGGTGGCAAAGTAATGTCTCTGCTTTTTAATATGCTGTCTAGGTTGGTCATAGTTTTTCTTCCAAGGAGCAAGTGTCTTTTGATTTCATGGCTGCAGTCACCATCTGCAGTGATTTTGGAGCCTCAAAAAATTAAGTCTCACTATTTCCATTGTTTCCCCATCTATTTGCCATGACGTGATGAGACTGGATGCCATGATCTTAATTTTCTGAATGTTGAGTTTTAAACCAACTTTTTCACTTTCCTCTTTCACTTTCATCAAGAGGTTCTTTAGTTCTTCTTCACTTTCTGCCATAAGGGTGGTGTCATCTCCATATCTGAGGTTATTGATATTTCTCCTGGCAATCTTGATTCCAGCTTGTACTTCCTCCAGCCCAGCATTTCTCATGATGTACTCCGCATGTAAGTTAAATAAGCAGGGTGACAATATACAGCCTTGACATACTCCTTTCCCAATTTGGAACCAGTCTGTTGTTCCATGTCCAGTTCTAACTGTTGCTTCTTGACTTGCATACAGATTTCTCAGGAGGCAGGTAAGGTGGTCTGGTATTCCTGTCTCTTGAAGAATTTTCCATAGTTTATTGTCATCCACACAGTCAAAGGCTTTGGTGTAGTCAATAAAGCAGAAGTAGATGCTTTTCTGGAACTCTCTTGCTTTTTTGATGATCCAACGGATGTTGGCAATTTGATCTCTGGTTCCTCTGCCTTTTCTAAATCCAGCTTGAATATCTGGAAGTCTGGTCCCTTAAGTCAGGCAGAATGGATGCCCTGGAGAGGGATCCTTGGTCCTAGCTGCAGGCTAGGGCAGACTGGGAGAGTTTTGTGTTAACCACTTACTAGGGCTTCCCAAATGGTGCTAGAGGTAAAGAACCCAGCTGCCAATGCAGGAGACATAGGAAACTTGCATTCCATCCCTGGGTCAGGAAGGTCCCCTGGAGGGGGCGTGGCAACCCCTTCCAGTGTTCATGCCGGGAGAATCCCACGGACAGAGGAGCCTGGTGGCTACAGTCCATGGGGTTGCAAAGAGTCACACATAACTGAGTGCTTTGCATCCAAAGCCTGTCTCAGCACAGTCTACTTGCCATTTTTTCAGGGCACGGATGAACATGTTATTAGAGCAGAAAGAAGTGGCTTGATAGGTCCCAGGGTTAAACCAGTCATTCCCCTGGGAGACAGGACAGACTCAGCTTCAAAAAAAAGAGGTGTCCACTGGACATAGAGCCTGTCCTAGGAGGAGACCTTGCAATGTATGCGTCCAGGCCCCGGAAGGCAGGAAAGCTCCTGCAGGAGGGTGGAGCAGTGTCTCTGGGAGCAAGGGGACACGGAAAGCCAGCACTGGGATGGGGTCCATGGGCAGGGGCTCATCTGGAGAGCTGGGATGCCAGGCCAAGACTCTGGTCATTAGGGACAGGTGGGAGCAAGGCAGGAACCAAATCCTGGAGCAGATTATTGGACTGGGCTGACGTAAAGTGTGGGGCTGGGCTGGATTATTCCAGCAGGGGGCTATGGAGAGCCCCGGGACTTCAGACTGAAGGCAAAGGTCCATGTTCTGCGCTGGTCCAGCACACAGCTCCCTGGGAGCTGAGGCTTGAGGCTCCTGGCCTCTTGTTTCCTTGTTATTCCTGCCTGGCTGAGAGGGTTGGGTCCCGTGTCTGCGATGGGGGAGAGCCTGTAGGAGGGATGGAGCAAGTGGGTCCAGCTGAACTCAGAGAGACCAGCGGCCAAGGAGCCAGGCAGGTGGACACCTCGTAGGTTCTTGTCCCCCATCCTCCCAGCAGTGGTTCATTGTCACCACTGCCCACAAAGGTAGGCCGGACACCGCCCATCTCCCTGGCCTTTTAGTTTCTGTTTGTTTGTTCCTTTTTTAATTGAAATATATGTGACATACAGCACTGTGTACATCTAAGGTGTGCATGTTGATTTGATACGTCTGTGTTTTGTAATGTGATTGCCATTGTGGAGATAGCCGCTCTCTCACATCATGTAATTATCATTTCTGTTTGTGGCTGGAATAAAGATCTCGACTCTCAGCGAGTCTGAGGATTATAGTACAGCGCTGTACTCCCTGTGCATTGCTAGCTCTCCAGGACCTAGGTGTACTAGTTGCAGGTTTGTACCTTAAGCCAGACCTCTCCTGTTCCCCCACCCTCCTGCCCCGTAGCCACCTTTTACACTGTTGTTTTGTTTTGTTTTGTTTTGTTTACTATTTTGGCTTTTCTAGATTCCACATATAAGTGACATCATACAGTATTTTCCTCTTTCTAATCTGGCATTTACTTTGCCTCCAGGGACCCAAAGGACCACCAGGACACAAAGGAGAATTTGGCCTCCCTGGGCGACCTGTAGGTATCCGAGCTCCTCAGACTGCAGGTGGGAGAAGGACGTGTGGGCCAGGCTGGCCTGTGGGCTTGCTGAGGCCTCTCTCGTGGGTTTCAGGGTCGCCCGGGACTGAACGGCCTCAAAGGCGCCAAAGGAGAGCGAGCGGTGATGATCCCGGTGAGTGGCGCGCCAGAGGCCCAGGCCCACAACAGCCAGGGCCGCGGCCCAGGGCCAGGGCAGGAGGGGGCCGGCCGGGCGCCGGGTCCCAGCGAGCGGACAGAGCACCCAGCAGCGTTCCTCTTCCCCTGCCGCCCCTTCCAGAGGTCCGCGGCCCAGCCCTGTCCTCAGGCTCATTCTCAGGAGCTCCTGCACCAAATCCACCACAGTGGAGCAGAACTTCCTCATCCAGCCCCAGGGGAGGGTGGGAGAACACGATCTGGGAATCCTCAAGAAGCCTGGCTTCAAATCCCAGGTGTTCTGACTCGGGTTCTACCATGTCTTTCCTGGATTACACATTCCTGGGGATTTCACAGGTCACTGGTGTAGCTGGGGTGGGGCTGGTGAGCGTTGAGAGAACACAGAAGCGCAGTCAGCTGCGTACGCAGAACCTCACAAGATGGCAGACCCTGGGACGTCCGCAGTGTCCTGCATCTGTGTACAGAAGCCAGTGTTCACTGGTGCTTTTGAGGACAGGATCTCAGTCTTGATAATAGCTCTCCTGAGAGACACTCTGCAGAGCCCTCGTTTTACGCGAAAGGAAACCAGGGCCTGTAGAAGTTGGTCACCTGCTGGAGGCCCCCCATTTGCTACATGCAAGTGCAGCTTGAAGTATGTTGCTGATTCTGTCTGGTCTCCAGGAGGTCTCCAATTGGTCTCCAATTTGGTATGCCCAGAATTGCAGGAATGAGGTGACGCTGAATCACTCACCAGTGCTCCCAGTCTAGTGATCACGTGGAGCCTGAACCTGGGCCGGGCGCCCCTCACCTACGGTCAGGGCCTCCCCTCCCCCACGTCTGCTGAAGCTGCAGCTTGGGCTCCAGGACTGGCAGAGAAAGCATTGCATGCTCTCACGGCCAGGCCGACCTGGCTCTGCCATGGACTCTGCCATCTAACAGGAACCGGTGTTTATCGTTACATTTATGCGGGGCCCTTTCAGGCCCCGTATCCCATCTCCCTCTGGGGGATGCGTTGGTAGAGGTGGTGGGCTCTGTACCCACTGAACACTGCTCTGCGGGTTGGAATCCGGCTTCCAGTCTCCATCCTTCTGTGAATTGCTGCGTGGCCTTTAGCAGGTCACTTCCCCTCTCTGGCCCTCGTTGCCTCCCATTGTAAACCAGCAATGATACTTGCTCTGCCGTCGTGAAGATGCAGTGAGGACACAGAGGCAGACTGCTTCAGGAAGAGGCTGGCCTCCCCGTGGGAAGAGTTAGTCGGCTTTAGAAGACCCTCCTCTCCTCGTCTCCAAACCCTGGGGGAGTACCCTGCAGCTGCCTCTGTGCTTACAACAGCCCGCACTCAGGAATGGCCTTTCTTGCCCCGCTTCAGGGTCCACCTGGCATTCCTGGTCCTCCAGGCCCCCCAGGACCACCGGGAGCTGTGATTAACATCAAAGGAGTAAGTTGGGGTGGGAAGGGAGAGAGAGCTCCTGGGAAAGCGGAAACGGTCCCCTACTGGCCTAAGCTGGAGTCGGGTGTCCTCAACCCCCCTCTCATTCTCGTTTCCAACAGGCTGTCTTCCCGATTCCAGTCCGGCCACACTGCAAAACACCTGTAAGTAGCAAACAGTCATGGCCTTAAAGAGCAGGCTTTGGCATAGAAAGCAACTCAGAAAAGATAAGTTTTTAGCTTTTGTTTTGAGCCACTCTGTCAGTGTTCTGATGTCTTCAAGTGAGCAGGTGGCTCTGAATCATATTAGGGCTTCTAAGGGCACACATGTGGACAATGTTTCTTTGCAATCAAAAAGCAGTGCCTTTTGTTATCTTCATGTGGACGCATTAGCTTCCTGCTTGGAGCAGTATAAAAAAGGGGGAATAGATACTTTAAAACACAGAGGAGAATAAAAAGGCAATTCTGACTAGTGATCTTCACATTGGGAGCTTCAGGCTAAAATGTGTAACTATCCTTTCTTAACTGTCCTGTTTCTGCCCAGTACACAACGCTGAGAAGAGGGACTTCCTCTCCCTCTTTGTAATGACAAATCCAACTGTGACTCAGACAAACTCGCCAACTTGTCAAAGGTCACAGGAGGGACACAGCTGGGCCATCACTCAGGCCCCTGGCACCCCTTGGTACCCCAAGGTACCAGGCACATGCCTGTTCACCCCACTGGTCAATGCACTGTCCCTAGGCCCGTATGAGGAGGGTCTAGTTTTTGTGGGGAAGCGCCGGGAGGGTGGGCCTCTCCCCAGACACAGGCATTAGTCACTGAACGTGATAGTTCACTCAACAAGTATTTGTCAAAGATTTACGAATGCCAAGTACACGTGAAGCCCTAGAACTGCAGTGGTGAACTAGACAGGCGTGGCCTCTGTTCTCTGGAGCCTGCAAGTTACAATTTAGAAAGGTTCTTTGAAGCAGGTTCTTAATTCATCTCTGTAGGGGTGGTGATGAAACGTCAGTCAAGGGCTTTAAAATGACACAGTTTGAGTGTTTGCCCAGACATCTGTCCACGTCTAAAGTTTGAAACAATCATTCCTGCAACCCAGAGCCTGGGAACTCTGGTCCTGAAGGCAGAGGTAGGAGCCCCCTGCATAGGGGCCTACGTGTGTAAGGTGACCTGAGAGATGGCTGCCTCCCACCACACACGAGGAATCATAGCCTGGAGAGGCAAGGTCTCTCTATGAGCTGGTGCCCAAAGCCCCTCCCAACAAACATGATATCAGGCTTCAGATGGACTGACCGTGGGACAGAACTTGGGAAACTCAAGAGTACTGTATATTGCTACCGCAATTACTGTGACCTATGCTAGGATCCTTTGCAGCGACCATGGCCACTGGGGGTCAGGATGTCACTTTAAAAATGCCAGAGATGAGCTCAGAGCATTGTTTTCGATTTCATGTTGCCTGCTGGACAGCATGCAGGCTTGAGTGTGGATGCTTCTTGACCAGCTTTCAAAACGGACAGTTAAATAAGAAATGCTTCCTCTAACATCCAGCATTTCACAGGCTGCTTCTCATTTCATCCCCTTTCTAATATCGTAACACTTAACAGCTCACCCCCGGAGTGGAGGAACTTCATCAGCACAGCTGTAAGACGCTTGCTTGGCATGGCTGCCTCTGTCCTTAACCTAGAAATGTTTTTCCTGGAAGATTCCTGTCCCCTCCCCACATCTTCTGTTGGTGACAACCTGAGCCTGTGACCTTCCACCCATAAGTATGGGAGGATCTGGGATCAGAGGGATCATTTTGATTCACATATTAGCTGGGAAAAAGCTGGAGGTGGGCTTATAAAAGGAAGCTGGCAGATAGCTCTGTTACTGAAAATAAGAAAGAAAGAAATGCAGGAATCTGGGGATGAACTGTGAAGGAATATTATCTTGAACAGCTTGGACTCCAGACCCCTGGCACATAATGGGAAGTCCAGAATAGCACCCCAATCTAGTGATAGCTCCTCTTTATTAATTATCACCACCATCAACTCCTGTTCTGGGTGCTCGTCTTTGATTACACATGGCAGCATAGCTAACGCCTGGCCCAGGTTCATGACTTAAGTACATCACTTACCATCGCTTGACCTCTCACATGAGTCAGTCCTACCTGATCACACAGGAGGCCAAGAATGCTCACGGTTGGCCAGACCAACATTGCCATGACTTATCTTTCCCTTTGCAGAGTTGTTTAGCCCATGGATCTCACCCTGGCTCAGCTACAGGCTGCAGCCCCACCCCTACACCTGCCAGTTGCAGGCCTGAGATGCTTTGCATTGAGGGGCACTGGGGAGCTCAGGGCTTTGCGGGGCTCCAATACCCAGGGCAGGCCTAACTCCATGACCTTGCCCCTTGCACCTGGGACAGGGGACTAGCTCCCTGCGCACAAAAACCAGAACAGGGTTACAGTGTATGACCTTGGCTTTCTCTCTCTCTTTCTAGGTTGGTACCTCATATTCTGGGAACTCAGAACTCATCACTTTTCATGGTACACACTCCTGTCTTCACCTTACGTTTCTCTGGGATGTTTCCTGACCCTCTTATCGCTGCAGAGGTGGTTTCCATTTGCCCAGTTCTGGGCGTAAACTAGGTGCTCTGAAAAGTCTGACTGCATCGTGGGAGGGGTGGTCGTTGAACCAAGGCTGGACCAAGAGCACCTCTGTGTGCTGGTGTATTTGCTTATGAAGCACCTCTGTGCTTCAGCTGCCTATCTGATGCATCTTGTCTAATAATATTCCTCCTAGCTAGTAGCCAGCACTCCATTTTTCCATTCGTGTGTTAATTTGTTCATGATGCATCCACTGATAGCTTCTCCTCACCCGGTGCTGTCCCATTCACTGGGGTGAGACAGATGGGTCCCAGGCTCTTCTTGCCACCCAGCCCCTTAGACTCTGCTGGGCGAAACCATTTAAGAAGTCATCACAGTGCAGAACACCGAGAGCTAAGGCAGGGAGGCCCTGGCGGCTCAGAAGGCCTTTGCCTGAGAGCGTTTCTGGACCAGCAGCATCAGCACTCCTGGAGCTTGTTAGTAATGGAGACCCCTGGGCCTCATCACAGACCTGCCGGGTCAGAAGCTGCATTTTCACAAGCTCCCTCTGAGGTGTGTGCACACACAGTGCATTATGAGACATGCTGGCTCGGAGTGGTGCGTAAACATCAGGATGTTTGCGGCCGGTGGGAGCTTGTCTACCGCGTGTCAGACAGGAGACAGGCCAGGAGACGGGAGCCTGCAGGCAAGCAGTGACTCTGGTCCTCTGTCCCCACATGCTGTCCCACCATGGGTGCCTGTTTGACTGAGGAGTCTGGACACTTGCGGTTTAAACAGGGAAAGGCGCATTTTTCCCTGATCCTGACCTCTGGCTCGGCTCTGTCACCCGGGCCTGCAGGCGGTGGTCCCCCTGATGGGGTCGAGCGTCACAGGGTTTTGGTCACATTTGGTCACAAAATCCAGGATGTTTGAGACTTCTTGTTCAGATCCAGTTCAAGGTTCTCCCTTCCTCTGGTGCCAGGTTGACCTTGGGGAGGAGCAGGTGGCGCTGGGTTAGCTTTTGTCGGATCCGCTGTGTGGGCGCACACTGGTCATCCCCTCTCGGGAACCAGCTCAAAGCTCTGGTGTCCGCCCACTCATCCAGGCAGGGAAACAGCACTGCCTCCTTTGCCCAACGCCGCACTCCAGGAGGCTCCCTCTGAGCCCGTCTTCAAGATAAAGATCTGGGGAGCGGGGAAGGCTCTCAGGCTGGTTCTGCAGAAACAGTGCTTCTCACCAGCCCTCTGGGAAGTGGATAGGCACTGGTGGCCTTCTTCCAGCTGTGAGCGGAGTCCTTAGCGCCCTGGCTGTCCTCTGCGGCACTCCTGGGACCTTGCTCCCTCCCACTTACACCGCTGTGCTGCCCAGGCTTTGGTGAAGTGGGGCCGAGCGCTTGACTGGGTGTCGAGGCTCAGTCCGCGTGCATGAGGCCATCTGAGGGGGCTCACTGTGGCCTCTGTTTTCCCCCCGTGATGCGCTGCTGGCACCTTGATGATGGTGCGTACTGCATCCTGCCTGGTGCTACCCTGACCGTGTCTGTCTCCCCGAGAGCTTCCCAGGTCAGGAATTGTGTCTGCTGCACCTACCTCTGCCTCTCCATCCTACAGCAAAGGATTTTATACCCTCAATAGGCTTTTGTTTGTTGATTGGACTTAAGAGGCTCCATTTCAAAACCTGTCTCAGAAATGTCTTATATAGAATGAAGGTGTTTTTCCGCTATCTTTTTTTTTTTTTTTAATATGTGTGTATTTGGTGGCAGGTGTTAAAGGAGAAAAAGGATCCTGGGGCCTTCCTGGCTCAAAAGGAGAAAAAGGCGACCCAGGGCCCCAGGGACCACCAGGTATCCCACCTCTTCTTCTGGCTATCGCCCTTGATTTTTGTTCTTGAGAAAGCCAACAGAGCCGCTAAGTGAGGCTAATTACATTACCGCCCTGCCTGCAAGCGCCGTGAAATTCCAGAGAAACCCAGCCATGGGTGATGCGTGCTCAAGGTGGAACATTGTCAGGAGAAACCAGAAGCTCCCATCATCCCAGCTTCATATGCAGAACAGGCCCCAGAGAGGACCAGGGAAGAGCGCAGGATCCCACAGGGTCACAGATCCTGGACTGGGGCTCGTTTCCAAGCTGTGTCCCCTCTACCAGCTAAACCAATATGAGGCCATTTCGGCTAGGTACTCATCATGTGCCTAGACACTTTGGTGTTTGAATCTCTGAGACTGATTGTGGATTATAGGAAGCATTTCTCTTTCAGGCCCTCCTGTGGATCCAGCTTACCTGAGGCACTTTCTGAGCAGCTGGAAGGTGAGCCTTCTGAACCTTCGGCCTGCGTTCCCAAGTGCTCAGGCTTAAGTCAGAGGCTGGCTCATCCGACTCTTTCTGAGTGTTCTCTGAATGATCTTCCAGGGGGAAAATGGCGACAGGGGAATCAAAGGAGAAAAAGGAGACTCCAACAGTGGCTTCCCTGGCTTCCCTGTGTCAGGGCCTCCGGGCCTGCCAGGCAGCCCAGGTGTGCTGGTGAGTAGTGGCCCCTCTGCGTCCCCTTCCTCCGTGAATCCTGGAGTTCCTGGAAACCCCCCATTGTGACTAGGCAGCTGGGAAGCAAGGGCCAGCCACAGGCTAGAGGCAGGCCTTGGGTGTCAGCCTCTCTCCCCGACACTTGCTAACCGGTGGGGAGCCTGGCCGAGGCCACGGAGGAAAGGGAGCTGGCCAAGGCCTTGTGTATGCAGGTAGCTTCCATGTCACTTGCTGCCTCGCCTTATTCACACCAGTGGTGGAAAATCTGCTCAAGGCAAAGAGTTGTTAATGGTAGACACGTCAGATGATAGAGGCAGAAGCAAAGGTGAGGAAGATATTTTTAGAGTGGCTATTTGATTCTTCTGGAATTTCATCAAACAAGGAGCCCCTAAGTCAGCTTGGTCTTCTTAGGATGAGAAGCTTCTCCAGGGCACAAGAAAAAATTCAGTTTATGTCTCCAGTGAGATTATGACGAGATCATTGACCGTCAGGGGCCTGGAACTCGCCATGGGCAAGACAAAGCAAGCCAGGAGGCCAGGATTCTCCCCCCAGCTGTGCTGCCAATTTGCTCTGAGACCTTGGCCAAGCCCTACCCCTCTCTGGGCCTCTGTTTCTCCATCTGTGAAATGCCAAGGCTGAACTAGATGACCTCCAGTGGACCTTGTAAGTCCAGGGCTCCCTGGGCTTCTCTCCTGTCATTCAACAAAACGACTAGGCCTCTGCTCTTTAAGTCTTCCACCACCTAGCTTGTGCCCAGGATTGAGGACGAAGATAACAGTAGCGGGAGTTTACGGACTTCTTACCAATGTCCTGCCAAAAAGACCAGGCTTCTAGTGACTGATAGTGCTTTTCTTCTGTCACCATGCAGGGCCAGAAAGGGGAAGCCGTTGTCGGGCCCCAGGGACCCCCAGGTGCTCCTGGCCTGCCTGGGCCACCCGGCTTTGGGAGACCTGGTTCCCCTGGGCCACCAGGACCCCCGGGACCACCAGGCCCTCCAGCTATCCTGGGAGCAGGTCAGTACGTGAGCCACCGCTTCTGGGTGGCGTGTCGGAGCCACACTGTCTGACGGAGGCTGTTTTCTGGATTGAGCCTTCTTTCTTTTCTTTTGTTTTAAACTGAGATATCATTTGCATGCCAAAGAATTCCCTCACTGAAGTGGACAACTGAATGGTTTTTAATATATTCACAAGGCTATGCAGCCTTCACCTCTCCCTAACTCAGGACATTTTCATCATCTCAAATAGAAATCCTGTACCAGTTAGTAGTCACTCCTCTTTTCAAACCTTGATCTTTCCCTGATCTTGGAAACCACTGATCTACTTTCTGTCTCTATGGGTTTGCCTATTCTGGACATTTCATACCAGAGGAATCACACAGTATGTGACCTTTGGCTTCTTTCACTTACCATAATGTTTTCAGAGTTCCCCCATGTGTAGCATGTATCATTTTGTTTGTTCATTCATCAGCTGATGGACATTTAAGTTATTTCCACTTTTTTGGCTACTATGTGTAATGCTGCAGTGAACATTTATATACAGGTTTTTATGTGAACATATGTCTTCAGTTCTCTTAGGTTTACACCTAGGAGTAGAATTGCTGGGTCATGCGTGTGATTGAAGGTGAAGGTGAAGTCGCTCAGTCGTGTCTGACTCTTTGCGACCCCATGGACTGTAGCCCACCAGGCTCCTCCATCCATGGGGTTCTCCAGGCAAGAGTACTGGAGTCGGTTGCCATTTCCTTCTCCAGGGGATCTTCCCGACTCAGGGATCGAACCCGGGTCTCCCGCATTGCGGGCAGACGCTTTGCCGTCTGAGCCACGGGGGAACCCCAATATATGTGATTACTCTGTATTTAACCCTTGGAGGAACTGCCAGACTGTTTGCGAAAGTGACTGTAACATTTTGCATTCCCACTAGCAGTGTACAAAGGTTACAATTTCTCCTTGTTGTCATCATCATTTGTTATTATTATATCTTTTTTATTGTAGCCATCATTCATTCTTGTGAAGTGATATCTCATCATGGTTTTACTTTGCATTTCCCTGAAGACTGATAATGTTGGACATCTTTTCATGTGTGGGTGGAAACTTCTTGGCTGCTTTGTCAATGCCTGGGCCTAAAGGGACTTGAGGACCAGCATTGAGTCTAACCCTTATGTAAAAAAATTTTTTACCCCTTGGTACCTCACTTCCTCAAATGAAAAATGTGTGAAATAGAAGAAAATCTCCATTTATTGAATACTTACCAAGTGCCAGGCTATCTGCTAGTCACTCTCCTACATTATTTTATGGATTCCTACAAAGCCTTTCAAGGAAAGCATTAGCATCCCCATTTTATAGATGAAGAAAGTGAGGCCCAGAGATGTTTAGGAACCTTTCTAAGGTCACAGAGCCGATAAGTGGCACCAGATCAGGACCCAGGTCAGAGTCACTCTGAAGCCGACATTCTTTCCACTGTGCTCGTGGTGGAAAACAACAGCAGTGGCAGTAATAGCATGAATACCTCGTTTTTTGTTGCTTGGGTCGGCATGAGCCAGGCGTGGCAGAAACACAACTGGGAAGAGCCCTGCCGTGTCTGGGGCATCTGGGAGAACTTTACACAGGATTGGCTGGGGCAAGCGACAGAAATGGAACTCAAACTAGTTCAAGTAACAGGGAAGCTTACTGCATGTGAAGGAGGGGTGAACAGTCAGTTTGCGGAGGGGCAGGCATGCAGTGAGACTTCAGATACAGCCAGGACCAGGGGTTCAGTCGCTGTGAGGATTCTCTGTCTGTTGCTAAGCTTCTCTCTGAGCACAGCCTCATGCTTCTTCACCACAGACCACATCCTCTGCATGGTGGGAAATACCGACAACCTACACCTTCCACTGTCATCTACAGATCTTGGCCTTCTTTCTCAGCTTTCATTTGAAAAGCCTTGGCGTGGGGATGCTGTGGGGACAGATGCTGACTGACCTGTCCTGGGCCAGATGCCCAACCTTGGACCAGTGCCCTGTGGCCAGGAGGTGGGAGCACACGAGAACATGGCAGCTCCTTCTGAGCCTGAGCAGTCCTAGAGGTGAAGGGGAAGATCTCGGGAGCAGGCAGGGGTGCTGGTCCCACAGGTGCCCAGACAGCCTTGAGGGATAGATGGGAACTGCAAGAGGTGGCAGGACATCGCAGGGTGAGTGCAGGATGCAGAGACTCTTGTCCACAGTAACCCTAAACTCGGGACCCCAGGACTCCTTGCTCCTTTGGAAAGAGTTACCCTTCACACAGTATATGACGGTTCACAGTTTACAAAACACTCCCTTATCCATTATCCCATTTGGTCTTCACAGCAACCCCAGGAAGAAGGTGAAATGGATAAGATTATAAAACTCATCTTATGGATGAAGGCACCAAAGCTCAGAGAGGTTGAGAGACTAACTCAAGGTCACAGATGCTAGGGAGAGGCATGGCTGGGGTCCAGATCAAGTCCTCAGACCCTCTTTCCACTAGAGACATTCACCACCCGTGTGTGAATGTACAGGTCCTATGTCAGAATTGCAGGCTGGTGTGCACAACCTGAAAAATCTCATGCAGTAGTTTTACTTTGCTGTATTAAGTCGCTTCAGTCCTGTCTGACTTTGGGACCCCATGGACTGTAGCCCGCCAGGCTCCCCTGTCCATACGGATTCTCCAGGCAAGAATACTGGAGTGGGTTGCCATGCCCTCCTCCAGGGGACCTTCCCGACCCAGGGATGAACTGAACCTGCATCTCTTAACTTCTGCATTGGCAAGCAGGTTATTTACCACTAGCGCCACCCGGGAAGCCCCAAGTTTTACTGGGACTTGTACAAATATCCTTAACCCTGCCAAGAGTTTTGCAGATTTTGAGAGGCGACAAGAGATTAGAAAGATAGAAGGAGGAGAGCAAAATAGCTGTAATGATATTTGTGTTTGCCTAAAATAAGAGCTATTCATTTGGGAACCGTAAACTCCTAGGAAATTCAAGGATGTGCCTCAGGGAGCTATCATCCCACTAACATTCTAAGTAGAAAGGTGTGTGTGTGTGTATCTCTGTCCTAGGGGAGAGGGCCTTGATCTGATTTTTAAGGGCACTTTGACTTTTCAAAAGCTAAGAATCTCTGGCTGGATACTATACTGTTTGCAAAGCACATTCCTAGTTTGTATTTTTCTCAGTTCTCAGCATAGGCTAGTGAAGAAGAAATATCTGTTTATATTTCACTGATGAAGCTGGGGTTCAGAGAGCATGTTACTTCCCCAAGCTCACACAGCTCAGAATCAACAAATCAGGATCTTCAGTCTCCTGGCTGGAAGGCAAGGGCCCTACCCTGCCTTCCTGTAGCTTGGCACCTTTTCTTTTTTCTGAGTCTTCTTCCTCTGTTCAGTAATTACCTGTTTGTTTCTTGGGACAAGTAAGTTGTATGAATCAGGGCATTTGGGGATGCAAGCGACAGAAAACTCAACTCAGACTGACTTATACAAACAACAGAAACAGAAGAAATGTATTCACTTACAAAATTGGAAAGTCTTAGGCATGACCTCATTCAGGGCTACAGTTAAGAATCTCAGCTCTCCCCTAAGCCAGCCAAATGTGGCTGAGTCATAAGCTGGGCACAGAGCTCCTAAGATTCAGTTCCAAGGTGCAACGTTTGCAGGGTTGTGAGCAAGGTGCTGAACACTCTCTCAGTAATTGGCTAACATCAGAGGCATTTTGCAGACAGTATGCTTTTCTGTAACTTCTCTTTCCTGCTTTATCATAGCTGTGGCCCTTCCAGGCCCACCTGGCCCTCCAGGACAACCAGGGCTTCCCGGATCCAGAAACCTGGTCAGTATTATCATCAGGGAGTCTTCATCCTTCTGCTTTGGATGAGTTTGTTTAGAACTGTGGCTGCAATGTTTAGGGGCTGGCACACCTTCTCTGGTGGAGTTGGGCCTCCATGACAACAGAATTGGTATAATTCCACAAACAGGATATTATCTCTTTGGGTGACTCAGTAAGTAAAAAGATGCAGACGACAAAATCATTTATGATTTAGGTTCCACAAGAGCCAATTGTATCACATCAAAAAACACAAACACGAGAGTGTAAGCAGCGTTACAGGAGACCCTGTGCTGGCCACATTTCCCCGGGTGACGCAGCAGTCTGCATTTACGGAAGACTGTCTCTCGTACCTTCGTTACCCTGCGGATCGCCTTACTCTGTATGACGCATGGAGACTGTTGTGAGGCACAGAAAGGGGAACAAGTGCCGCAGTAGGATGTCAGAAGTCCTAGCAATGTACACTGGTCTCTGATAGATTTTAGCTGGAAATTTGGGCTGCCAGATGAAAAACTGTCCAACAGTTGATGAAATTTTGATATTTGGTGCCTTTGGGGGATGTCTGGGTCATTTTAATGCACAAAGTCATTATCTTCAAAGCTAGGCAAAAATTAAGTTTTTATATTCTTTCTCAGTTGAAAAGAATAGTAAGAGTTTCCTTGTCTGGTATTTCTCTGAGACTTGATAGATTTCTCCTGCTTTTATCTCTGTGCCTAGAGAGGCCAAGATGATTTTCTAACCTTTGGCAATTGTCTAGACAGAGAAATTATAGACCCCTATTTTCTTCTATTTATTTATTATTGGAACTACTCAGCCAGGCAAAAGAAAAGGTTCAGGACCTAGGCAGAGTCACTGTCTTGTTTATATTTCTTAATCCAAATGAAAACACTTTGAAACCCTGTAAGGAGCAGCATGAGCTGACATAACACATGCAACAATGGTGCAACTCATGCCAATGGAAGCAGCAAAACCTACCCGTGATTTTACCAATACCAGTGCCCAACAGAGCCAGCTCTACTGACAGTTTTTAAATGTCTTCAAGCTCGCAGGATATTATCTTCTTTGTTTAATTTTTTTATTGTAAATGAGATTTACATTTCAAGGTAATGAATGTTTTTGTTTGATCAAAAGGAAAGTCCTTTGGTTACTGATGAAGTTATGTATCTCTGTGGCACAATGACCTTTTCATTGACTGGGAGGGGATGGCTCATATGTGACTTTGCAAAGAGGCTGGGCTTCCAAATCGCACCATTGCTCTAATGGTAACGGCAGTGTTTGGTGTTTAACATTACCTGACAGGTTACAACGTTTAGCAGTATGGGCGACATGTTACAGAAAGCACATTTGGTCACAGAAGGGACTTTCATCTACCTGAAGGACAGCACCGACTTTTTCATTCGTGTCAGAGATGGTTGGAAAAAATTACAGGTAATTCTTAAACCCCTTTTTAAACTGACTGTCTCCAAGTACCCTCTAAAAATCACAGTCTACTCCTATAAATGCCATTTTTCTGATTTGAAAATGCACAAACAGTTTCCAGTTGATGTTTCATTTTCAACATCCTCTTTTCCTTAAAGCTGGGAGAACTGATTCCCATTCCGGACGACAGCCCTCCTCCCCCCGCGCTTTCCAGCAACGTGAGTGCTCTCCCCGCCTTACTTCTAGCTCCTTCATTCATCAGCACTGACTGCATCCCCTTGGCATCCAGCATCGAGCTCTCTGACTCCGGACAGCCCGCCCTGCAGGGCTCACTATCTGGCAGAAGCCCAGAAATTACCAAGTGCCAAAAGAACGTTCTCACACTGGACGGCGGGGCCGGGGGGCGGTAGGGGTGGAGGAGGTGGCGCTGGACCCAGAGGCTGGAGACCCGCCATTGCTGTGTCACAGCTGAATCCTCTCGGGCAAGGGACTCCGCTCCCCTTGGCATCAGTTTACTGATCTGTGAAAACATGGTTGGCGTAAGCAATCTAGAAGGACCCTTTAATATTTGATGCTGAGACTTCCTTACCTGATTAGAACATTAACAACTTGCATCGCCCACTGTTTTAACCTTACAGCTACCCTTTCGGGTGGGTACTATCATTCCCACTTTGCACGTGAGGAAACTGAGGCTCTGAAGAGCTGCCTTGCTCTATGAAGTGAATGAGTTTTTTGTAAAACATGGGAATTCTGCTTTTTGGTTCAGTGCTCTGTTCTAAAAGTCTTGAGAATATTGCTCCCTTTCTGAGGATCATTTTTCATTCATGCATGAAATTCTTCAGTTAACTGTGGTCCAAAGACCATGACAAACTGTTTAAGACAGCTTTTCAGGAAACAGTGCACTTGTACCTTGATGTACAGTGAAGAACAGCGTGAATGCATGTTCAGGATGTTTGTTTTCTTTTTTTACCCGACAGCCTCATCAGCCTCATCTTTCGCTGACATCTATTTCAAATGTCAATTATGGCAGACCTGCAGTAAGTACCGTTCATGCGTTCACTCTACAAGCACCAGAAGTATGTCTGCCATGGGCCAGGCCCCATGCTTGGTATGCAGTTTGTTTAGATAATTGCCGGAACCTCAATTGTAGGAAGCACAACAAGGCCTGGGGACTCTTGTCCCTGTTGAGTCTGTCCCACCGTCTCTACAGACCAGCCTCTGCAAACGTCTTTCCTCCTGCCTCCTCTCCACCCCACCCAAGGACACAGACATAGGTTACCTCTGCAAAACTTGCACACAGCTTAGGGCTGCCATGGCACTGATCCTGGCCCCAGCTCTATGTGATCTTCAGCTGCAGGGCCCAGTACTACCTGGCTCCACTCAGAGTCTTGGGAGAGGCAGTCAGCATGGCTCAGACTCCCTCCCAGCCAAATCGAGAGCAGCCAAGAGAATGAAATGGAATGGCCTAAGGCCCCTCTTTACCAAATATTGTGGGGACACTCTTCAGAGCACAAGGCATGAACTTGGCGGGCACTGGGAACACATTTCCCTCTGCCCAGCAGGAGATCCTGTGGGGCATGGTGAGTCTGCAGGACCTGTAGGACACCTGAGTGGAGACCCCCAGAAGGAAGCAGCATCGGAAAGTCTGCAACCCTGCAGTGGGTCTAGTCTGGAAATGCAGACTTGGGAGTCTTCAGTAAAGCCATGGCTGTTGTCTTGGGGATGGAAGGATTCCTAAAAGAGAATCTATATGGTGAGGAGAGACTGGACTGTGAGGGGCAAACATAAAATGCACTGGCCGGAGAAATATGAGAAGGAAACTGAGCCGCTATTGCCAGAGAGGAAAGAATGCCAAGCAAGGTAGAAGCCGACCATGTCAGATGCTTCCAGGAGGCCCATGGAAAGAGCGAAAAGGTGTTCAAATTGAGAAACTAGGGGAAAGCATTTCTGCAGCATGGAGGGATGCCAACAAGATTCTAGGTAGTGGCAGAGTAGGTGGGGGGTGAGGAAACAGAGAAGCAAGGTCACCCCTCAAAAAGCTTAGCTATGCGGGGAGACATAAGGGCCGTAGCTACAAAAAGTTTTTAAATAGTGTGCTGTAAATTCTGAAGTAATACATATCCATTTTAGAAAGTCTAGACAGTAAATAAAACCAATGGAGAAGAAAATAATCACATAATTTTACAAAACTATAACTATCCACAAAATAACTATTTTAACATTTGATTGTTGAAATGTCATTGTCTTCATAAAAATGATAGCTGTTCCTTATAGAAGTGGTCCAGCGGTTAAAGATACAGGAACGTGAGAACACGAAAGCCCCCAGTCCCACCATTCAGAAGCAGCCATGGCTCCAGACCTTTTTCTGCGTCTCCTTAAAGAGGGGGACGTGGTAGTGATGGGGTTAGAGGTGTGGCAGGGAAGCCCCCTCTCGCCGCGGCTCCTCTCCTAGGTGTCCACTAGGAAAGCGCCTTCTCGTGGAGCCTCTTGTGACCGCCCTTAGGTGTAGTCCCCAGAGGCACAGCGGCTGGAGGGTGATGAGTCCAGAGGGTCTCTTCCCTCATGTGCCACGGTCTTCAGACATATAAGAAGAGGAAGATGGGTTTAAGATATTGTTCTTTCCTGGAGACTTGGGCCCAGGTCCTGCACCAGCTCTGTGCTTCCCCAACTCTATGCTAATGAGATAAAAGTTACTTCTGACATGAGGTTGAGGAGGGGGATGACTGCTCTTTGATTATGAAATGTAATTCAGAGGCTACAGCAGAAAGGGCTGGGAAAGAAGGCTGGGTTTGGGGAGAGAAAGTGTGGAGGAAGAAGATCACAGAATGGCTTTTATCTGGGCTACTGACCAAGGTGTCAGGAATGTGAGGCTAGAATTACTGTGTGATCCCTGGTTTCTAAGAGTCTGTCCCAGCAGTCTTCATAATAAATGTCACGGCCTTCCCCTCTCAATGCCTTTTTCCTCTGGTCCCCCAGGATCAGCCCCAGACCTACTCAGGAGGTGGGAGAAAGGGCAAGAGGCAGATAGTTTGATGCACCTCTGAGATCTAGGACCAAAGCCAGCTTAAAAACCTCCTAGAAACTCAACGAAGGGCAGACCCAGAAGTCTCCAACAGATGGCCTGCCTGCAGGCTCAATTCAGATCTCTGAAGTGCTTTAGTTTGTTTTTCTCATACATTTCATAAGAAATGTCTACTAGTTAGAGCAGTTCAGATTGCTGAACCAGACTGCTTTGGGAGACCGGGGCTCTCCTTCACTGGAGATGGTCACACCTGGGCTGAGAACCCAGTGTCAGGTAGAGGATGAATAAGGTGACCTCTAGCGTGCCTTCCAATGCAGCAAGTCTGGGATCTTATTAGCAACATGTGATGGTTATGGGAGTTGGAGTTTGCTATCAATTCTCCAACTGCACTGTCTTTTCTCTCACTTTTTGCAGCTACACTTGGTTGCTCTGAACACGCCGTTTTCTGGGGACATTCGAGCTGATTTCCAGTGCTTCCAGCAGGCCAGGGCTGCAGGACTGTTGTCCACCTACCGAGCATTCTTATCCTCCCATTTGCAAGATCTCTCCACAGTTGTAAGGAAAGCAGAGAGATATAGCCTTCCAATAGTGAACCTCAAGGTAAAACTAAATATGGTTCCCATCTCCACAGGGACTATAAGGCAGCTGCCACTCCTGACACCTTCAGAAGTGTGCTATTTCGAGGCCCTGATTAGCTGTGTGACTTTGGGTGGGTTACCTTCCCTCTCTGGGCCTCAGTCCCCTTATATTTGCAATAGCCCTTCCTGCTTAGACAGTTTGTGACCCTTGGAGCAAACAGGAGGGATAATAATAACCTCTTTCATTCACATAGCTTTCCTGTTTGTTTATAAAGCACTTCATATCTGTTCTAATAGATACTTCCAATAAAAATGGGAGTTATTCTCTTCTCAGTTTGTTAGGAAACCGAGGCTTACAGGGAGAAACAGTTCGCTCAGAGTAACTGTAAACTGGAATTGGTGTCCTTGATCCGCACGTCCGGGGCTCTTGTTCCACCCAAGGGCGCCTTCTGGAGAGAACTGCCTGAGTGGCACAGAACCACTGTCCCGCGCCCTGGCTTGCTTCCCTCGGGTATTTCTGTGCCCGTGTTCACTGGCAAGGCGGTGCCTCCCTGCACCCTCCATTACACAATGGAAATAGCCTACTTCTTTAAGGCTACAGAAGAGCAGCTCTATTGCTGCTCACACATATCCTGGGTCCTGACTCCTAACCAGATCTTAAAGGTACTTTGAGACCCTTTGATCCCTGTGATCCCAGTACTCCAGCCTGGAAGCTTGAGCCTGGCAAGTTCATCCTGACCCCACACACAGCACTTCTTATCCCCTCTTCCAAGGGTCTGTTCTACCATTTCACCCACTCAGATTGTCTGTATTCTTAGGCTATAAATAACTGAAGGAAGAGGAGTGAGAGGTTCGTCTCCACATCACCTGCTGGTGCTGTGCTTAGTCATGTCCAGCTCTTTGTGACCCCGTGGACTGTAGCCTGCAGGCTCCTCTGTCCACGGGGATTCTGCAGGCAAGAATCCTGGAGTGGGTGGCCATGCCCAGCCCAGAGACTGAACCCAGGTCTCCCACATTGCAGGCAGATTCTTTACCATCTAAGGCACCAAGGAAGCTTCACCCATGTGTATATTAGCACAAATTTGAAGCTCAGTATATAATTATAAAGGCTTCCTTGGTAATTCAGATGGTGAAATATCTGCCTGCAATGCAGGAGACCTGGGTTTGAGCCCCTAGTCAGGAAGATCCCTGGGGAAGGGAATGGCAACCCACTCCAGTATTCTTGCCTAGAGAATTCCATGAACAGACTGTGGGGTCGCAAAGAGTCGGACACCACTAAGCGACTAACACTTTAACTTTTATATAATTATACAATGTTTAAAATAGCAATAATAAAGACCTAAAACACATTTTTGATGGGGAAGAGACATTATGCACGTATAATAAAAGAAATTACCTCAAGAAATAAGGCTATAAAGCTGAAAGGGTTCCAAGGATAGATTATAAAATCAAACCAAAGTATTTCCCAAGTTCTTACTCTGTCCAGGATATGGGATTACAGTTGGGGGCTTCCAAGCTTTGAAGAACAGATAAATACTTGTACGCTGTTTGTATAATGATTCTAATGTAGCATTTTTGTCTCCACAGGGCCAAGTACTTTTTAATAATTGGGACTCAATTTTTTCTGGCCACGGAGGTCAGTTCAATACACACGTTCCAATATATTCCTTTGATGGCCGAGATGTAATGACAGATCCTTCCTGGTAAGCAGAGGTTGAAGCCTTTGAAGTATATCATATGATAGATAGCTTTAGGAAACAGTCTAACAATGGGCTGCCCTTATCAGCTACTCCTCTGAGGTGTTGCCAGGATAAAAGCCCAGTGAGGCAGCGAGAGGCCTTGGAGAGAGCCTGGCCTTGAAGTTAGGAGACCTGGGTCCAGTAAGTTCATATGGGACCTTGGGTAAGGCACTTCCACTCTTTGAGCTTCAGTTGCCTCACTGGTCAAATGGGCAGAATAATCATATCCATACCATAATAATGCTGTGAGAATAAAAACGTAAGTGTGAGAATATCTAGTATACAGTAGGCACTTAATTAGTGGTAAGTAATGCTATTGTTGGTGATTCTTTAACCCTCTCCTGTGAGTTGCACTCTAATTCTTTGAAATGCTTTTAAGAACACAACAACTCAGTAAATCTTTCCTCATTGTCTACTGTATGCCAGGCCTGATGTCAGGCCTGGAAGGCACAGTAATAAACCTACATACACAGCTCCTCCCTTTTCAAAGCTTATAGTCTGTGGGAAGACAGACACAGGCTAGCTACCATTCTAGACATGATATTGTCATTGGAAAATGAAGAAACAGCTAAGATGGTAGGAGCACAGAGGAAATAGTCATCCTTCCTTAGCAGTGAGAAGAAGGAAGGCTTCCTGTAAGTTGGGTCATTTAATGGACTTTGAAAGATGACACGGAATCGCTGAAAGTGGAAGTGAGGCCATTCTAGACTAAGGGGACTCATCAAAAGCTCAAATTCACAGAAGTAGAGAGTAGGATTTCAGAGCAGGTAGAAACTGGATATGGTCGGAATGTAGTGTGTTCAGAAAGTTGGAAACAGTGATAGACAGAAAGACAGAAAAGTGATGTGCGGAGAGTTCAGGAGTTTGGCTTAACTCGCTAGACTTAGGCTGATTTCCTTGCCAAGATATGCCACAAAGAAGGGTCATTTCAAAAAGTAACACAACAAACTTCCTTTGTAGGCCCCAGAAGGTCGTCTGGCACGGCTCCAGCACCCACGGAGTCCGTCTTGTGGACCAGTACTGTGAAGCGTGGAGAACCGCCGACATGGCAGTCATGGGCTTGGCCTCCCCGCTGAACACGGGGAAGATTCTGGACCAGAAAGCATACAGCTGTGCTAACCGGCTAATTGTGCTGTGTATCGAAAACAGTTTCATGACAGATGCGAGGAAGTAACAACCCTCCCATGCTTCTTAAGAGTTTTCCAATTTTTTTATGTGAAGAGTTGACACTGAAATCTAAAATGTTTAAGCGTTGTAAATATTAGTTTTTTATTACACATTCGTCACAACAGCAACCAAAGAAAACATACCTCAATACACTCAAAACTGAAGACATAAAGGACTCAGATCAAAGATAAAATCTGATCCATCTATTGGTGCTAGATTCTGCAGGAAACCCCATGCAGTGTAAACACATCCCAACATGGTTAAGAGCAAGTTAAAAAAAAGAGCAGGTTAAAAACAAAGGCCTTGGCATTCCGCCCACTGCATCCTTCAGAAAGTGATTTCCTACTTTTAACCATTGTTGAGTATAAGATGTCCTTCATGTTTTCTTACGAAGTCAGTGTTTAGAAATGTTACCCCTTTCTAAGTTATGTGCAGACCAAACACTTTGTTCTTTAATATACATCCATTGTTTGCAACTGCTGTTTATATAGACAGAACTGCTCAAAATGATCCTATTTGTATTTTCTGATATTACAGACTTTAATGTTTTCTTCCAAAAATATTATTGCCATCATACTTTAGGAGTTTTATGTTTTTACACAATCATATTTCAGTATGGCATCTGTTTATATGAATGACTTGCTGGAAAAGTTTAAGTTCCCAATGATCTGAAACTAGAGAAGAAATACCACATAATTACTTCCTTTCCCTTGGTGGCCCTTTTCCCTACCCCCATCCCGATTTTATGACTTCCATTTGGCAATTCTTGAATTATGACTCCCTTTGAACAAACAGGTTCATGAGGATAAATTTTCTGAGACACATATATCTTCATGCTGTATACGTTGGCTCTTTTTTTCCCATGTAACAAGTGAACATAAAAACATCTTTTCCAGGCGCTTTCCTCTGTTTGACTTTTCCCCCTCCGCTCCTTTATTCCTCATCACTGATGTGGAAGTGGCCCTCAGGCAGGATTGCTAACCCTGTCACTGCCACTTGTGTGTCCCCCCAGGAGATGATCAGAAAACGGGAAGATTTTCCCATCATCCTCTTCTGCTCCTGCGTGTTGTCTTCCACTCGGCGAGGGCAGCATGGGGCACGCGCAAGAGGCCCAGTGTGACAAAAGGATCAGCTGTATCTCAGCACATGATCTGGGCAGAGCTGCCTTTTTCTCTCAAGGAGGCTGAGATCAAATAAGTAATATCAGCTCTCAGTTCTAAATATCAGACTTACATAAGTCCCACTTATCTTTCCCAATAACCTGCAAGGTAAGTATTTTTATCTCTGCCTTACAAATGAAAACAAAATTAAAAAGTTGAGGCTCAGGAAGTCACTTGTTCCAGGTCACGGCTGCTGAGTGTGGGGCTGGTTTCAGGCCCAGGGCCCGTCTCCCTCCAGAGCCCAGGATCGTTTCAAGGAGCAACTACACGAGGCTGCCTTTTCGCTCCCTCTCAGCTCCTAGGCTGTGACTCTCTGGCTCTTGGCTTGATGCTGCAGGAGACACAGAATCGCCAGGCAAGCAGCATGCCAGGAAATTCCCTCCCATTCAGCCAGGCCAGAAACTCAACAAAGTGAATCCACCCTAACGGTCCTTGAGGTAGGAAGGAGGTGGAGGACCAACAGAAAAAAAGCGGGTAGCTGGGGACCTCCACTTAGGGGCTTCCCACGTGGAGGAGTGGTGGGCGGAAGACACATGTAGGTTGGAAAGAGCCAGAGGCGGGCCGCTGAGGACCCACAGCCCCACCCAGTGACGGGCGGGTGGTGGGGTGCCTGGCGGGCACAGCAGCTGAGGCAGGAGGCAGTGGGAGGTGCGGAGGTCGTGAAGGGAGGGTGCCGTCCCACCCCTGAGCCGGGGCCCGCCGAGGTCGGCTCAGGGAGTGCCGACCCCAGCGAGGAGGTTGACATTCATGCCCTGGCTCCTCAGCCTCTTTGGGTACCGGAGGAGGGTGTGACCAGCTGTCCTCCCAGCAGACGCCTTGAATGAACCCCAGCCCTGGACTCAGAGTGACAGTCAAAGCCTGGGTCTAGCACTCCAGGCCCTTCGCTGGACATCGGGTCTCCGGTCGCTTGCCAAGGGCCACCAGCCTGAGGCCCTCGTGACTCCTTCTGTGAGCCATGCGGACCCCTGCGTGGGGCTGCTGTCCACGCCCTGCCTCATCTTGGGAAAGCCTTAGGTGCTCTAGGTCTGACCTGGCCCTCAGTGCAGATTCTGCTTCCTCTGTGATATCCCTTGCTCCTCTGAACCTGCCAGCCTCTTATCGTGCTTCCTCCTCTGAACACCCACCCTCTGAACACACTCTGGATCTTGTCACACAAGGAAAATGAGAGATTGAGAGGTCTCCAGCCTTCACCTTACCCCTGAGCATCCTTCAAGTCTGGGGAGCAGGCTCGCACTCTCTGACATGATACGGCATGGAATACACTCCTCAGCTGTTGGGCTTGGCGGTGTGAGAGGTCTTGGGGTACTTCCTCTGAACCCATATTGTGGACTCTCAAGGTCTGAAGCCAACAGCATCCACAGTCCCCAGTCCAGAAGCAGAAGGGCAGAAACAGCTGTCCCATATCCACCCACAGCGGGTCCCATGGGAAGGCAGACTCACAAAAGCAGCCAAGAGACTGGCAAGGACAGGGAGGTACGGGAGACGGAGCACGAAGCGGGAAGGGCGGGGCGAGCTCTTGGCCCCTGCACGTGGCCACGTGGTGCCGGGCGGTGTCAGCAGTCCAGTACACCTGAGTATTGATCAGTGAAGGAAATACAAGTCAAATGCATAAACCAAAAAATGAACAACCAACAAAATGGAATGTATTGGCTTGTGAAACCAGGAAGAAAGACAGGGAATCCAAGAGACTCAAGCAACATAGTCACTTAGTCCGTTTTTTCTTCTGTGTGTGTGTGTCTGTCTGTTTCGCTTTTGCCTTTCTCTGTATGTGGGTTCCTTCTTATGGTGAGAGCAAGATTCGTTCATGTGGCAGGGATTGTTCCCAGCTCAAGGCTTACGTTATCCCAGCACCCCAGGGAGTGGCCTCAGAGGAAAGAGAAGACTCTCTCTCCCGTCTGGAATTATATTAGTCCCCAGAAAGAATTCTGTTTAGTCCCACTCATGTTGTGTGCCTATGATTGCGATTGGCAGCTCCACCCAAGATGAGTTGTGCAGAAGAAACAATTCCTCCACGCAAAATGTGAAGGAGGTTTGCAGTGACCAGAAGCCAGAGCCCAGGAGGCCAAGAAGACCAAAAAGAGAGAGAGACAGATCCCAACACCCAACCACAGGAAAGGGCTGAGCGTGGGGCATGTGGTGGCAAATGGCACCCTGGCCTTGAATTCTAGGGTGAGGTGTGTGGACTTCATCCTGCTACTGATAGAGCACCTTCAGAAGACTTAAGAGATTTGGGATTAGTTTTATGTTTGAGAAAGATCCAACAGGCCTTTTGTTTCTTCATTTATCCATCCAGAGATATTTTTCAGTAATGCTTTTTTACCTAGAGTCATGTTTAAATTTGGAGATGCTAAGATAAATTTGGCTTCCCCAGTAGTTCAAACAGTAAAGAATCTGGTTGCAATGTGGGAGACCTGGGTTCGATCCCTGGGTCAGGAAGATCCCTTGAAAAAGGACATGACAACCCACTCCAGCATTCTTGCCTGGAGAATCCCATGGACAGAGGAGCCTGGTGGGCTACGGTCCATGGGGTTGCAAATAGTCAGACATGACTGAGCGACTAACTCACTTTCAAGATAAGTGGTGCCCCCACTTTTCAAATCCACCAAGCCCATTCTGCCACAGATTGTTTCAAATTCCATGTCTTCCTCCAAATCCTCAAGGACCTTGCCAAGTGTATGTGTGCAATTCTTGCCTAACCCTTCGATGGAGGAGTACCTCTCCAGTTATTCCTTGAGCTTGAGTCACCAAGACACCGCTGAACCTCCTCGGAGCTCTTTGATCTCCGTTGGCTGATTTCCCCTTTACCTTCCATCCGTACTCTAACTTACAGGGCAGCTGAATGTAGACAGGCCTTTGTCTGGGTTTGAATTTCGGCTCTGCCACCTACCAGTCATGTAATCATAGGCAAGTTACCGAAAATCATGCCCTACACTCCACACTTCGCTGCAGCTCAGTTTCTTCATCTGTAACATAGAGGTAGTAAATGAAACAGCTCTCCATTGAGTTAACTTGTTGGAAGCTCTAGGAATGGGGTTGTGACCCTGAGTAAGAAACCAGTAAGTAGTGACTGTCCTTATGACCTGCCCCAGATGTCTCTCAAGATGAGCTGGGGCCCTTTCTCTAGACTTGCAGGGTGACCTCTTCCAGTCTGGTTTCTCTGCCTTCAAGCCCAGGGCTCTGGCTCAAGCTGTATACACGAGTGCAGCTGTCACCTGCTGATGAATATCCACTGCCCCAGCCCCTGGTGTCCTGGCTCCCCTGCCCCGCTGCTCATTCTCCCCCTAAATCTACAGCTAAAATGTTATCATCTGTCCCAGCAGGGGCTCCACAGTTCCACTCTGGCACTGCGGCTAGATTCCTTCAGACTGACAGGAGCATGTGCCATAATGACTGTGAGATAATCTGATTATTCCCCTGCCTAAGCCTGCCCAGCACCCTTAGTTCCAAGGAGGACCCTGAATGCCCTGTTACCTGATATTTTCATAGAGGAGATGCCCCACCCCTTCCTCCAGACTTGCTCCTTCTCCTCTGGTCCTTCTCTCAGGGAATGGTGCCACCAGCCAACCAGTAGCCTAAGAGTCATTTGCTTATTCACTAATCAGGGTATTTTCTGAGTGCTTTCTTAGTAATAACAGCAACAATAATATTATAACGTAAAGTAGGTACGAGGAAGTTCAGCAAAGTCTGACTCGTTGCATGATGGCTACTTCTTCTCAATGTCAAAGTATTGTTAAAAAGATATTTCCGGGGAGTCTTGCTTTGCTGCACATGTTGGTCCTCCTTTGAGATAGAGCTGTCTCTGCTTTTACTTCGGTAGGACTGTATCTCCCATCATGCTGATCTCCTG